ATTCAAACTGGGATTTGTTGCTGCTGATGGGAGGTTATCCTGTCAGGCAAGTTGTCGAAGGAATTTGGTTGGTTGGGTCTCTGGGGTATGAACCCAGAGAGGGAGGGGCCGTTTCGGCTGAAGGCCTCTGCGGCATGGGGGGAAGATCACTTCAGCTGATGGCCTCCCGTGGCGAGAGGGTTTCCAGCTTTTATATGAACTCCAGCGTGCATTATTATATTACATAAGAAATTAATTGTTGCGTCATCTGTTTACTCGGCATTGTTGTATTTCATTACTGCCGTCAACAATCCGCTTTCGTTATTGCGGAAGGAGCTGAGCTGTGAATCGCTTGTAGAAGAAGTGCGTCGTAGAGTAGATGATATTGTGCTGTTAAAAACGTTTTAGAATATCACAATTACTTACCTTATATAAGAATTATTGCATTACATTACATTCAGCTACCACAGACCCCGCGTAACTAATTTAAGTAAAATAAGCAATGTCTTAATCAAACTATTTAATCAATTGTAAAGCATATATAAAGGGAATATTTAGAATAAAGCTAATATATAAACTTTCTTTCATTGTATTTATTGCTTAAATATAATTTAAATACAGAGACGTATTTACGTCAGATTCTCCGGAACCGTGGTTCCACTGTCAATTTTTAACCTTTCAGATGGAAAATAACTTTACAGTTGATGCGAACAGCACCGAACTCGCCAAACCCCGGGATCCACTTGTTGCAGTCGGAGTCGCAATGGTCACTTTTTCTGCATTGAAGATTCTATTTATCATATATACAGTGATAAGAAGAATTTATAAGCAATATCATTAAGTACACTTGCATACTGCTTCAAACACTTATGATGGTAAGCAGACGTTTAGAATTCCGATAATATTTTCCTAAGGAACGGATAAATCTACGATTTTTCTATATTTTACGATAAGAAAAAAGTCTAAATTAAAGAGTAATAAAATTCGCTACATAAAATCGGAACCACATCATAGAAGATTAATGTAACAGCCAAGTGGCGAATCCATAATATGGATTAAGCACGCAACTCTGAAACGTCGGTCAACTTCTAAAGACTTTTCCATCGAATGTCAAACACGGCTCAAAAATATCCGATCTAAAATCGGCTACGACATTAATTTTAAGCTTCAAATGCAAATGCCTTTTAATTAGAATACAATGTTTTGTAGCTTCTAAACGTTTCGTTTATATTACTTTAAAATTAACACTTTCAACCCGTCCGTAGTGCAATTGGTTGCCCGGACATAAGCAATAGTCGTAGGAGCCAAGAGGTCACCTCATCACCCACGCACAATAATCTGCTCTATCTCTGTGATCTCAAACTGTATTACAGGACTACTCGTGAATCACCACATAATTCGACACTGAGTACGATAAGTTCACTTATTTCCACCACCAATAGTACATTGTGCCGACTATTCGGCTCTGATGATGTGACGGCGAAACTTCGAAAGGGGTGCGCATGCGTGTGGTGAGGTTAGGCAGGTTTAGGAGAGGGGGGGATGATTTGGGCTGACCTCTTCTCTCCAGTACACGGACGAGACTCAGGCTGCTTCCACGGATCGGGTCGGCAACGTCTCTCCGCCTGGGCACCCTCTTCGAGGTGACCTTGGTTTGTTTTTGTTTTCACGTTGTAGTTGCCCGTCCGAATAGGTATTGATTTTGCTGTGTCGGTGGACCGGGCAACCACCGTGATTTTGAGTTTTTTGTGGTCCCTCAGGGTGGTCAAGGCTGGGAAGACGAATTGGAGAGGTGCCAAGAGCAAGAGGAGTCATGTTTTTTTTTTTTTGTTCTTATATGTTTTGTTTGTGAGCTTCTTTGTTTGTAGTAGGGTAATCAATGACCCCGTGTAACGTGAATGTATTATAATTTGTCTCAAGAAAGTAAATGGTTTTGTTTCTAATTGTACATTGCCGTATTTTTAAGGTTGTTTTAAGAAGGAGTTACACCCAGTTTCAGGGTACCAACGACCTATAGAACTGAAAACCTCCTTCCCCTTTGGACTCTTGTTGAAAAGGGGAGAGTCGATCAACATTACCAATACATTTCACATGATCACAAGAACTACCCTCGCCAATGCACGTACCAGCAGAAAAGAATTTCATCCACGAAGAAGACAACGCAGACATCTCTTCCTGTTATGACGAACCTATAATTGACATCAAGGAAGACTTACTCTCAGATAATAATGGCTACATGTTGGGACAAGCAGTAAAATGGGTCCTAAATCGTACTCAAATTCGATCTACGGGGGCCCCGTCCGTCCTAGGGAACATCGGCAACTCGTTGAGCCCAGGAGGCCTCCAACCCTGTAGTCGTACTTTTAGAAGATCTTCTCTGATAGTGATGTTCACATCCCCATGTCGTCAGATAACAATGCTACAATATCTCGAGCTGATTTGTCGTCGGCTGCACGTGGCCATCATGTAATCGAGTAGGGTGCAGTCTTCGTCAGCAACTCACGACTGTGGTCTCAGCAGTGCACGAGAGATCTCATCTAGGTCGTCCCAGGTATGGTGGAAGACCACTTCAAGCCACGAGCGCGTTAATCACACCCGGAGTGAGCTATATTGGAACTCTTGTGCGCTTTTGGGAAAACAACAACGTGACGTTGTTATGAATCTGCAAGAAGCTTGCTTCTAAGCAAAACTATCGCCAGCATTGTTAGCAAAAACCAGATTATAACAAGAATACGCTACTACATATATACAAAATTTGGACATCGTTAATCAAAATTCCCACCCCTAGTACTATTCGAGGACCAGCTAAAACTCATGAGCCTACTCAACCCAAAGTCTTCACAATTGATTTTCATATTATCCACTCATCTTTGTCTCGATGTTGAAAGTGATAGCTTTCGAAATAATGCATATCCAAAATAGTTAAGTTCGCGTCTCGTTTCTCCAACCCTGGCTACATGACCAGCCCATCGTAACCTGCTTATTACTTACTGTCAACTAGATGTCTGAAATGTCGGTAAACTACCAGACGACACGGTGCCACAGCCGTGAGAACCCCAAATCCTACTTAGTTCATAATTTATCAGATTCCTGCCTATTTATTTTTACATCCCATCTTTCTTAGTTCTAATGTTTAACAGCAATTTGTTTCACGATTTATTTTCCGTAATACGTAATATAATTACAGCAGAAAGCGATAAAAATTCTGACTGGAACAACATTCAACACTACGACAAACTAAGCAATAAGACAAATATTAACTAAATTGTATTTAATTGTCTCATTATAAACAAAAATACCTAAATACAGTCAAAATTACCAGCACATTTGTTAAGACTCAAACTCTGTGCATTAGGAAAGGAAGGTTTGTGAGCTCTGTCTGAAACATCTAATAATATAACATAAACTAATACATGTTTCCTTTCTAAGCATTACTTTTGTCGTTTGAAACAAAAAAGGTTCCAGTAACAGATCACACCATCAGAGTATACTTATATTTAATTATAATCCAAAGATGGATAGCTATGTAATTTTGCGATTAATCTTTTTATAAAAACAATATGCCTCGAAGAAAAAGAAACATGTAAAGGTAAATTTAATAAACTGTATTTTCCAGCATGCAGAGCTATATACTGTATAGTTATTGTGAGGAAAATCTGTGGGAATAAAATGGTTATACTACATTCAATAATGCTTTGATACTTCATAACACAAATGTGGTTACACATGAAATACATAACGTGTACATCTTCAGTTAGGGAAGAGAAGAATAAAGGCCTTAAGGTTCTAATTGAGGGTCATTTACTGCCACAACATGGAAATACATGACGAACTATAATAAATTAATCTCTTATTCAAAAGAGGATCACATATTACTCAACAATTTTCTTTAACAAAGTAAATCACTAGTGAGATATTACACAATGCGTTCGATTGTGTAATGTTCAATACAAAATGCTATTATCGCGGTTCGCAGACATCCTAAGAGAGCTTATCAGTGAAACGTGTACTAATACACAATTTGACGATTCTCATTAAGCTAAACAATTGCTAACATCGATAGTTACTACCAAATAATTACATAACAAATAATAATGATCAATCGCATCAGAGAGTCGAGATCGGGTCCATTTCTGTTGTTAAATGTTCTTCTCTCAACAATAATAAGAATAAGAATTAGTGCAAATTTCCATCCCTAGGTAACTATTTTATAAATGTTAGGCAATATTAAAAAAATATACGCGACAGATAAAAACACACAATTAAGAATTTCCTGATCACAGTGGAGAAAACCTCAAATCTTACATTCTGTTCTGTTCTGTTCAAAGAGTTTATGTTCGTAAGAGAAATAAGCAATAGCAATTATTACAGTCTGTTCCGAAGATTTGCGTCTTCTGGGTTGTTGCACTGTGTAGTCTGGTCGATGTTGACCTATAACACGCTGTATTTGGTTATTTCTTAATAACTCTATCAATAGTAAAAACAAATTTTGTTTCTGTTTTGAAGCTTTTAAGATTCAGTGGATGGTTGACATTTTACTTTCAAATTGACTTCCAAATATTCTTAAATTAATGAAGAAATTACTTGTTTTCCAGAGGCTCTTGACAAGTACATGGAATATAATGAAGGTGCTCTTCCAGAGCGAATTGTGGTATACAGGGATGGGGTGGTGTGGAGAAGCATGAGGTTGAACCCCTGCAGAAGTTGCGCGAGATGTATGGTGATAATCCATTCAAGATGGCATTCGTTGTAGTAACACAGAGAATAAACACCAGATTATTCCGCAACAAGGTAAACCCTCGCCCAAGCACTTTGCTGATAGGTACATAACTATGCCAGAAAGGTAAGTGTCTCATTGCACATACAGGTTAACCTAAGGAGGAATATGTCTCTAAGTTTTTGTGGTGCTGAAAGCAGCTTCATGACCATGAGATTTAAGGTTCTCACAGTAGTAAAGATGTGCATGGTGGTTTTCTGGATTGTGATGCTGTGCAGACTTGTAGGTGGGTAACAATATTTCATAGGATAATACAGCTTCAATATTAAGGGAAAAGTCTCACATATTTTATGTCTTTGCTGTTGGATTGTAATAATAGTGGATGGCATTAACATCATCCTCGGAGCTATTCAGCAAAAGTAGAAGCATTCAGACTGCTGAATTACAAAATGTGCCTGTGGAAACACTGTGTACTCCAGTTCTGTCCCAATCTTGGTTCTGCAATAAATTTGGCATAAACGAGAATATGCGAATGCAAGATAAATTTTGTCCGTTTTCTTTGGGCAGTCTGGGAGTGTTTTTTTTTAAAGGATTGAAGATATGACAGAAGAATCAAAACACTGCTTTCTTACTTCAGAAATGGCTAAGAGATGTTTACTTAATATTCCAGAATTTTCATAGATGTAAGTTTAGGGTAATCCAGCTTAAATACTAATTGTTTGTCCAGCAATCCTCCCATTCCTACTCGCCCTGTAACTGGAGAATCTTTTATCATAGAACCACAATTTTTCTCTGATCCTGTAAGTTTCACACTGCTTGTTTTGCAAAATTTGTGGAAGTCTAGAATAAATAATTGGAACACATCATTGGCACTAATAAACGGATGATCGCAATGTTTGAAAAGACCGTCAGAATATTATTTTCTGAAATAGCTAAAAATGACAAGTTTGGTTCGTCTTGAGTTTTGTACTCATTTTTGGACGTTACTTAGCGTGATGAACATAACATTAGATCACACATAGAAATCCTGTTACGAAATACTGTGAAGATGTTTAGTGATACAGTGCAGTAATGTATAGTGATCAACCTATCGGTAAAATGTATGACCATCTTCAGAGTAAACTCTCCAGCTATCGTAAATGAGCTGCCATCTTGTGTTCGCGAGCCAAACTATTACTACAATTTAATATCTGTGGAACAAAATATTTTTCTAGCATGTTGGCACATGTAAAGTGTTGTGATGTAGTCAAGGTCTTTTACGAAACGAGGTTGTTGTTGGCGATTAGGCCTTAAAACGTTACATGAAATATGATGCTAATACTATTCCACTAATATTTCAAACTAATTACAAATTATATGTGCGTTATGAAGGTAGATTCGTACTGTTGCACAACCTGTACTAGAAGTACAACACATTCAGACGTGGCTTGTCTGTGTATACTACCAGTAGAACATTTGGACGTGGCAGGCTAGTTAAGCGGTGTATGTCGTCATCTATAAGCAGGTTGAAGGCGGGTTACAGTTGAGAAGATGGTTTATGGAAATATGTTTATAATTGTTAGTGTTTTGGCTGTATCTAAGTTTGCGTTGGCGGACGTCTGCAGTAAACCAGAAGTGTCCGCTTCGGCGTACACAACCCAGGATGCTACAGTTTTAACCGATGTAGCATTTGTGGCGGAGTTTACATTGAATTGCGGAAACCATGTGACGAGATTGCCCCTGTATGCTGAAGTTAATGGGAAAATGCTACCTGCTGCGATGGTTGAAGATGATGACGGATATCAAATCAGCTGGACAGAAGATGTGAAGAAGGCGAAAAGAGGTGACTACAGTGTCATCCTGTATGATGAGGAGGGTTATGCTGCATTGAGGAAAGCTATTAGAAACGGGGAAGATCCTTCGTCTATTAAGTCTTTGGTCACCATTGTCGTTAACTATCCTGGTGCATACAATGGACCATGGTTGAATTCTGAATTCATAGCTGCAATTTTATCTGTTGTAGTATGGTATTTAGCCTTCTCAGCACGGTCAAAACTTCTTGCTTAGCTGTAGAGTGTGACAGTGACTTGCCACACAATCATTTTTATTTTGCGAAATGTGGGATACTCAGACCTTCTGTGGGGAATTATTGGAATAAAAGTGGTGGTGTGAAAGGTGAAGTATTGAAATATGTGAAAACAAAATTGAATTGCACTTGTGTACATCTAAAAGACCAGTCAGGATCACTAAATTCTTGGACTGTGTCCATCACCTGTGTTTTTAAAAAAGAACACCATGTTTCGGAAGTTGGATCTGCAAACATCCTCAGGTTAAAAAGGAGGAGGGGCACCCACTCAGTTAGGTCTGATAGAAAGGTCGAACTTCAATCACAAATTAAAAAAACCGTGTATGTGTATGTCAGTTTTTCATAAGAACCCTGATTCATGCAGTGATTTAACATGAAGAATACTTACAAGGAACAATGACAGATGAAGATCCATGATTTAAGTGTTGTGATTATACAAACGTAGTGCATGCTTCTGTATCTCATTTGCATAGAATTTTGTGTTCCCTGTATGCTTTTAGTGGATCCAATCTTGGTGGGCAAATTTAACATTCAGTGCACATAATATGCACTTCTAAATGTGTGAAAGTACATAGCAGTTGTATTTTATTGCATTCTTTACATGTAAATAACATTGTCTTCCTTGTTAGAATTGTTTCTGAATGTATTAAATATATGCTGTTTCTAATTTTTAGATCTTTCCATGGATAATTAAGGTTTTGTAGTATGAAAATAGTTTGGCTATGTATTAGTAAGTTATTACATATTTTAAATTGTGATTTTGGATGATTACAGTTATTAAAGAGAAATTTTTGATGGGAATGTTTGCAGAGTTTGAATTGTGCTTTATTGCTTACCATTAAATAATGTAGATAGAATTAAAGACTGGTTTCCTAATGCTCTATATTATTTTTTTAGGACATTATTTTTGTAGCAGAACTGAGTAAAATGGTGTTGAGTGTATGTGCTTTTCTAGAAGGGACATTTTTATAACTTATATTAAATGTCACATGTCATGGTTAGCATCTCTGCTTCATATTTAAGGTAGGAGCAGGAAATATGTTGTTGGGTCCATTAGATGGAGCTAATCTCTATCCATGGACCTGTGGATTAGCTGTCTAATTGACTCAACAGTAGGCTTTACAATCCTCCCTGATGATGGAAGCAGAGCCTGGCTTCTGAAGCAACATTTGTCCAAAAATTAAATGATGGAAAAGCCCAGAATATATCAATTTAGTAATGTACCCTAATCATAAACGTTTTTAGATTCATAGTGGGCTCTAGAGTAGTCTTCAAAAAAATTTTGACTTTGATTCTTCCATAAACAATTAATTTAGGGGCAATCTTCACTAGAAATGAAACTCAATAGATTAATGAAAATGAGGCATCAGGGGGGAGAAAAAATAAGTTTAAAAAAAGTGGAACCAGTGTTGTCTTTTCTCCTGTAGGCCAGCTTCACACATCAGTGGACAGGAAGTTACATGGGAGGGTGAGTTATGTGAAGAGTATGTCTCCATTCCCAATATTACAGTGCAAATCAAAATTCTGAGATAGCAAAAGGTTTTGCTGAAATGAAAGGGCCATCAGTGATGGAACTGGACCTACATGGGCTGTGGACCAGTGATACTTTGGTTACAATAGTTACAAGACATACACAGCCACTAGAAGCCCAATCTGAAGTAATGGAAGCAAGCATACATGTCATTTGTTATTTTACATTGGAATGTTATTTTGTAGGACAAATGTCTTGTAATTTCATATAGATATATTCAAATACTAATAATGTGTGGCGTAACAGCCCTCTGAGAGCCAAAGCAGACTAGCTTACTGCTGGCCTCACGTTCACATGCCTAAGCAGAGGTGAATGATCATCCAACCAGATATAGGGTGACATGAGGTCAGCACGACAAACCCCCAGCCATTGCTAGTTTTCATGACCGGATTACGCTACCCATTGTAGCTCCCCAATTTCCTCACGATGCTGGGTTGGCACTGCCCATACACTGGTGAAAAAATCTCATGAGAAATTTCTTTCCCTGAGACTCGAACCAGTGCACATTCCGTATCACCGGTCTGAAGCATGATGCCTCAGACCATGCAGCTATGGTGCGGGACTGATATATTCAAATATATAATTTATTCAATTCATTTGTGGCAAGCTGAATTCCTTTTTGGAAGTCATAAAAATATAAATTCCTCATGGAAAAATTGCCTGGCTCATCATTAGCAAGCATTTCCGGAATGTAGTCTCCTAATTTCCTCATGAATATCATTTTGATTAGTTACTAGTGTTCCCAAATATCTGAACTTTGTCACACTTTGAAAGGATTTTGTAGCCACCCTAATATTATTTTGCACACTTATCTGCTGATGGGATATTAGCATTTACTTTTTCTCTTTATTGTATTTATATCAGCACCCAATAAATAAACATCAACATATGCCAATAGCTGATGTGTTCCATTCAATTGCAAACCCTCCTGCCTATCTTGGACTTTCCTGATGGCATATCAATATAAATTTTAAGTTGAAACAAGATGAAGTTCTCTTCCCCCCCTCCAACACCACTTGCATGCAGTAGAAGAGATGATGTTACAAAAGAGTTCTGTACAGTGAAGACTTAAAACATTATTATTATTATTTTGTAATGAATATACATTTTGAAACTGGAACAATTTATTTGTTTTAAGGAATATACACTGTAAACATATTGCAATCTCAAGTGAAACACTTGCATGATTATATGACTGGGGAGAAAGGAGTTAGCACCTTCCCAGGAAGTAACATTTGCTGTATGCAATATATATGTGACTTATAGGTCCTTGTATGGCAGTGCTACTGTAAAAACAACAAAATCTAGTCATTTACTAACCAAAAAATGAAATGTTATGCTGCTTTAATGTATGTGTAACTGATTATGAAGTTTAATGCACATTAAATATGTGCACCAAATGGGAATGTACAACTGTCTGCATAAAATTTCAAAGTTAAATAATGTGTATGCATGGCTCCACACCTCCATTTCATTGCACTTCATAAAACAAGACCTGTATATGTTGAATCTAAAAACACTGGATTGTATATACAATGTATAGAAGTTAATCAAATCCTTGCCAATCTGATGCTTCTGATTCATCATCCAATTCAACTCTGATGCATTTAATCCCATTTTTAAGCAAAGGGGTACCTTTTCCCCTACCTGTAAGAAAGAAAGGCCCATTTAATAAAAATCAAACATGTGCACACAGTACTATAATGGGAAAAGCAAATGAAGCACTTGTGCTGACCTAATAGAAAGGTGCTCAGTATGCAGGGATCAAGTTATTTAGTACTTTTCCAACTAGCATTAGATGATTAAATGAAATAAAAGTGTTTAAACCAGCAAAGAAAGATTATCTTTTATCTTACTCCTACTCTGTAGAATTTACTTAAATTTAAACTAATTAAATGTACATTTTTTTGGAAATAGTTGTAACAACTATGTAATTATATTTGTATTGGCATTTAATTGTAGGATGTGCTGATTTTAATATTCTGCATTCCACATCCTTGCTTGGCTCGTACCATGACATATGTCTAGAATGCAACAAATTATTTTCTTTAATCACAACATAAATACCTTGAACACCTGCTTACCCTTACCTAAGACCCTAGCAAGTACAACAAGAGTCAACATAGAATTATGATCAGAGCATTGTAAACAAAGCTCTTCCTTCAGTAATTTCTCCTTGTATGCAAACAGTTCCAACTTCAACATAATATCTTTCTTGTCAGAAGAAATGGTAACTAGTTTGCAGTTTACATTGGGGACCTTTTGGCACACTGACTCTCTTAGTTCTGTTGTTTCATCAAGTTTGCATAGAGATCTTGGTAAAGTGAAATATATTTCGTATCTGTGGCCCACTTGTAAAAATCCGAGATGTGCTGTGAATTGCCAATCATCTCGTTTTTGTATAACAATTTCATTATCTTTACCAGAACTATCGGCATGCTCTCCGAAATGGACCCGATGTTGCTCTGCAAATTTCAACAACAGGCATTAAAACTTGCACCTCGAATACAGGTGTATATTCATTCAATTCTAAAAGAATCAATGTCATATATATTTACCTTTGTCTGACACGATTGCTTATATTTGTCAATGTAAGAACGAAAAGTGACTATAAAAGTCGTCCTTGCTGCATACCTTATTAAAGTTGCATTTTTTTAAAACAGGTAACCTCATTTACTCTTAGCAATTATATTAATGAAAGTCTGAAGAAAACCATTTCATATTAAGTTTATTATTGGTCAAAGAATATATCTCAATAAACACAAAGCACGAAATTGGTATCACAGACTAGATATTATCCTCGACAACATGTTTGGTTAACTTAACATTTCTGATGTTCCGTGACCACTCGATTTATAACGTGTGCATCACCAACCTTGACAGTAGTTTACCAACGATAACGGGCGACGATTTCCGTGCTTTGTTCATTCTAGTTGGCAATATGATCTGCACCAAGAGAAGCTAACCTGTGTAATTAAATGTAGGTCGTATCCAACTATATCATATTAATGTATCCGATTTAAGACATTTTAAATCAATAATAAGCCATAGAGATTTGCCAGGATGTCATCGCCTATGGAAATAACAAAATCGGAAGTACATGCGTCTTCAGGTAGTAGTTCTTTATATACTAACCTTTATGTTTAAAGTGTTCGTATGGCGAAAAAGAAAAATGCTTCAATCGAATGTGAAAGACTTACTAAATTTGATGTCATGTCTAAGTTTGTTGGCGGCATTGTTCATACGTAGTAGACCTGTGTATGATTATCATTTTGACATGAAATTATTTTATTTCAGAAAATAGTGGAGTGAATGTTGAAGACAATTTACCAGATGTAAGTAATAAATCTCGAAGGAATGAAATAAACCTACTGAAATATTGCTATTTAAGTAGGAGGTGAACTTTCTTAAGCCAGAAGTAATGAATAAGTAATTTAACTTTAAAGAAGAGTGGTCATTAGATATTTCTGAAGCTCAGGCATGGAATTATGTGCTATTGTGTAGGCATGAAGGTATAATTTATTTACTGTACGTATGTGGATTTATTTGAAACGGTCATTACTTTATGGCCCAGACTGGCCGTGGGGCCCACCCAGCCTCTTATTCAATGGGTACCAGCTTCCTTTCCCGGGGTTAAAGCACTGCTGGGGTGTGATGCCAACCACTCACCCCTATGTAGTGGTGAGGTCAAGAATGAGTAGGAGCTATACCACCTCTCCCCCTAAGCGCCTACATGGTGCATAGTGGGACAGCTTTACTTTTACTCTTTACTCATTACTTTATGTGAAATGTTTATTTAGTCTATTTGAAAAGAAGTTTCTGGATCCAAGGAATGTAATAATATGTATTTACATGAATCGTGACCAGTGAACAAAGGGATTTATTCTTCATTCATTATCAACACTGCTGTCAGTCAATCATTTTATACCTTTTTCTTTCAGATCATATTGTGATGATATACCTGTTCTGTATTTAAAGGGTACAATTTTAAATGTTAGCTAAATTTTGTGCTTTCTGTTGGTCTGCTGGACAAATACCAAGCAATCAAGTCACTTCCTTTCTTGCTCATAGTTCTTAGTCATCCTGCCAGTGGAAACATATTCTGTACTTGACATGGTGTTGATAAATAAAACAAGAATCTATTTCCTGAAGTAATCTTAATTTTATAAGATTGTTATAAATGTTTGTGTTCAGTGAGCTACACTTTGGAAGAATGCTTTGCCGTTACATATTTGTTACACTCTTAAATAATTAAGCTTTTTGTCATTCAGGGTGATTTATTGCAGTTTAGACCATACCAGTCTGAAAACAAGAAAGATACAATTTATTTTCATGTTGTAGATTATTTCAATTTTTTTTCTTCGCAGGTCATATTTGTGGAAGAACGTGGAGAGAAGAGATCTCTTCCAATTGATTCTGATGGTGAGTCGTGTTTTATTTCTATCAGCCAAAGGAATACGCTTCAAAGTAGATATATTGTGTGTTCCTAACAAAGGAGAGACTTTCCTGGCTGACAGCAAGGCTTGGCTGTCTTCATGTACCTCTACATAATCTACTGTTTCTTTTAGGAGCTGGTCCTGCCAGAAAGAAGAAAAAGAAATATGTGACTCAGTCACAGCCAAAGAATGCTGTGTGTGCTCTTAATGAGCTACGTCCAGGACTTACATACAACACAGTGAGCATGAGCGGACCCGTCCATGCTCCAACATTTACAATTTCTGTTGAGGTATACTGTAAACCTTTTACTGATGGGCTGTAATTGTTCTGTTATGTTCTTGGGCCACTTCGTGTGTATGATTCTAAGTCTGTGGGGTATCATGACATATCTTGGAGCAAATAAGGATTATAAGTATATGAATATTTTGAATGAATTATCTTGATTGCCAGTACTGAATCTACAACCTTATGTGAATGAAGGGCCATGGGAAAATTTTAACACAACATTGTTGTAACAAAACTTACTCAGCATGTGATTCATGTATGTATAAATTAGTATTGAACACTGCAGAAATTTACATCTTAGCAATAGCAAGAAAATTAAATTGTTTTCTGTACTTACATAACAGAAAAGTTTGTTTTTATCATACTGTACCTTGCTATATTTTCGGATACTTTTTATGTACTTTGATAGAAAACTACGTTCAACAAAACTAAAGTATTTTTGTTGTTAGAAGGACTGGTTTTCTGAAAAAAAAAATACAGACTGTACAGTTATTTAAAAATGTCTGAAAACAGTTGTAGACAAACGTTACAAAATGTAAATATCACAAACATCAGCTGAGAACTCTTCCCCAAAATATTGTACATGTGGCAAACCAAAGTGCACTGGTGCTAAGAATCTTTCCATATAATAGAATTACAAGCCAGCAGAAACATGCCCTTGTAAGTAGTGTCGGTAATCTGTAATATTCATAGTATCCAGGAAAATGTCTCTTTTGTGCTACGTCTGTAAGTTTATGGGGTTTGGTATTTCTTACTTCTCCCTGAAGGACCCGTTGTCTTCATAGTTTTTTTATGAATAGTTATGTGATTAAGATCAAACTGATTCTATTGACTGAAAATCAAAAAAATTCTATCATGATTTCTGGTACAATTGTACTGCACCAATGTTGTGCAGTTTAGACATTGAATTAGTATTAGCAGACTCAGAAGTATGGTATTTTGGTTCCTAGTATCATAATACACTCCCATGTGGCACCAGTGTTTGCAAATGCGTCTTCCATTTGGTTGGGTCAGACATATGCTTCTGAAATGCTGCATCCATACTTTTTATGTAATAAAGATCTAGAACCAAAGTGTTATGTGAGCATCCCTCAAGAACTGTGCATATTTATTACATTGTTAAAAGTGCACTTCAAAGCAGAAGAATTTTTAAAAATATTTTTTTTACTTCTAATACAAACTCATTCATTACTGTTTTTTGCTATAAATTAATAAGTTTATTTTTTTCTGTTAATATTATTTCCAGTACACACACTGACTTTTGCACCTGCTTTTTTAGGTGAATGGTCAGGTTTTTGAAGGGCAAGGACGATCTAAGAAGCTAGCCAAGCATGCTGCAGCGGAGGCTGCTCTCCGTTCTTTTGTGCAGTTCAAGAATGCTCCTGAGGCCCAGCAAGCAATGAATATGCATTTTAAAGACCTGGACTTTACAAGTGATATAACAGAAACTGAAGGCTCTCTTTTTAATGCTTTTCAACCACTGGACAGCAACAATAGTACAACTTCAGGGGATGTGAATAGTACAGAAACTGCCCTTGTGTCTCAAGCACCTACAGTTCAGAGCGGTAATGGTGCGCCCATCCATCCGATGCTTCCGCCAGCATGTCACAACAGTGCACCAAGGTTGCCTATTCATCCAGGAGACAAGAGTCCTGTCATGCTTCTTAACGAACTCCGGCCAGGGATTAAGTTTGACTGTGTTTCAGAAGATGGTGAACCATATGCCAAGTTTACTATGTCTGTAACTATTGATGTTGAAAGATTTGAAGGAACAGGTGAGTTTTTAGATCTGAAAGATTAAAGACTGCTGGAGGTGTACTATGAATATTATAAGTAATATTTCTTTACATGAATATTGGTATTGTTAGGAAATGGTTGCTTTTGGGAATAAATATTTTAAGATGTTTAATTTAGTTGTTAAAAGATACAAATATATTTTTTAATATTTTTGTAAATGTATGTAATTTAGTTTCCTTTCTTGAATTGTGGAAATGAAAGTATTTGCATAATAAGGAAAATAATGTAGCCCATGATAAGATGATGATGTTTATATATGTTTGAACTGCGTTGTATTTACGTTAATGTTTTATTATAGGTCCAAGCAAGAAACTGGGTAAAGCAGCAGCAGCGAAGGCAGCGTTAGCCAAGCTGTACAATATCACATTTTCACCATTCACATCACCGCTCCAGCCAAACAGGAGTTTAGGTTCTCCAAGTGCTCCACCAGTTTCCTTTGAACAGATGGCTCTGCCACAAGTCCTTGCTGATCACATATCCAGGTGAATAAGTTATCATTGTTCTGTATGACACAGGAAAACCTTGAAGATGGCTGTCTTCTGGGTTGTAACATCGTGTAGTCTGATAGACATTTACCAATGTTTCAGAGGTACTTGCTGCCTCTAAAATGTCAGTAAGCTGCTACTGGACTACACAGCACTGCAACCCCATACACAGCCATGTTCATACTCGCCACAAATTGTATGCAAGCAAACCTTGTTCATGCAGTGTTCAGAAGACAAGGATTAAAGATTTCAGCAGCTGGGAAACATGCCAAAAACACTGGAAAGAACAAGGTTTCTTTGTATGATATTTATTTAAGTCTTAATATGAATTGAATATTTTGTGTAACACAAAATTTAGGAACGATGGAGTCTACAATTGCCACTAGATGCTAGTAAGGGAAATGGTCTAGATGTAAATGCAGAAATAATTTAGTATATCTTTATATTTTATCAACAGAATGCAGGACAGAGTCATAATATAAAGATATTTAACACATATTTTAAAAATAGGGTGAAGTTAAAATATAAGGAGCAAAAGTAACAAACCATAACTATATTCACAGATAAATTAATAGTAGATTTAAGTTCAGAGAATGCATGCTGCAGTAAAATTCAGAATCTTTTATCATTCTGCTTTCTGTCCAAAAATACAACATTTAAAACATGTGCAAAGCTGTAACCTTGCCTGGTTTTTGTATGGATGTGAATCTTGGTCTCCCATCCTAAAGGAAGAAAATTGAAAATGAAAAATAAGATTAAGTGGTGATACCTTGTTTGAATTTGGTATTGAACCTTCAGGTTTCATGACAGGCAGATTTTTTTGACTCATCTTCTTAAAAGGGCCCTGCTCACTAGTGTTCATGTTTATACAGAGGCAGTGTTAAATTATGGCCAGTTGTGTGCATGGTGATGAATTGTAGATTGTGTTATTGGATGCTGGACAAAGATTAAAAGCTTCTGAAAAGCTGATATAGGGCAGGACACTTAGTGAAGATGTACAAGAACTGGTGTTGATGCAGGTAAAACTGGGGAAGATGAATATATTCTTTCTGGTAAGTAAACTGGGAAAGTAAGTGAACATTTTTACTTTATTCACCACAAAGGTTGGGGCATACTCCAGATGAAAGTTGTACTTTTATGTGAGATATAATATGATAGTACTTATTACGTATTTTCAGAGATGTTATAATGAACATAATTTAATAATTTTATTCAGTCGGTACAGCTAAAAGAATATTTTCTTTCTTCGCCCAGGTTGGTGATAAGCAAGTTTACAGATTTGACCGAAGGACAGCCCATGCATTCTCGACGGAAGGTTTTGGCGGGCATTGTGATGACTATAGGCCCTCAGATGGAAGATGCAAAAGTTATCTCAGTAGCCACAGGTACCAAATGCATCAATGGGGAACACATGAGTGTGCTTGGAGCTTCTCTGAACGACACTCATGCTGAGATTATTGCCCGCCGTTGCCTCTGCGATTTTATTTACGCTCAGCTTGAAATGCACATGAACTCAGGTTTGCTTCAAGTTATTCTTATATTATTTTTTACAGCCAGGGTGTCATTTAATTTTGTACAAAAAAATCTTACTTCTGTCCCATTCAGCGTGTAAACCAGTTATCTGGTGTATTTTTATTTTACAGTGAAATGTTTAACCCATACCAATATATTGATGTTTTTTAACGCAGTGAAAATATACACTGCCACTTTATAGTTTGTGTGTGTGTGTGTGTGCGCCCACTCATACATCATACATTTTTCAGTACATAATGTGTTTTCATAATTTGTTATGAGATGTCATTTTTTATCTGCCATCTGGTAACACTGCAGTGATTACAAGGTGGTGTGAAGTTAGGCTGGGGCAGCATACACATGGAAGAATCAGGTGAAAGGGCATTATGGCTGGTGACTGTAGCATCTGGGCAGCCTATTTGTATCTTTACAGAGTTGAGTCATCAGTGACTGTAATAAAGTTATTGACATACAGTGTGTGATAGATGATCAGAAAAGCTAAAACAGATTTTGATAGAGTAAAAATTAATTAATTAATTTAGAAGCAAACTGATGAATGAACTTTATAGAAAAGTGTAGAATAAGTGCATTGGCACTGTCATTGTTCAGTAAGGGACAGAAAAAAGATTTGAAAGGACACTGACAAGGGTGCATTTGAATCCTCCGTTTATTTGCTTCAAAGAAATCGTTTTTCACATGAATACAAGGTACCTGTCAAATGTAAATTGGTTATAAAGAAATTGCAGTCTTGTTTGTTAATTGTGCAAAGGATATCATTTGTTTATGTGAATGATAAAGTTAAATTTTTATTTTTCTTAAAATTTAATTACAGTTACCTGCCAATTAGTTTTATGCCAAGCTCTGCATCTGGTCTTCAGGCCATGATGAAGTCCTTTCTGAGAGACAGGCATGTTTATTTGTATACCATATCTGGAATTAATGCTGAAGTCTTTCTGGAATAAGCATTTGAAGGAACAAATTACATGTACAGTTTGATTTAGCCGTGTATCAGTAATTGTGTATCAGCATTACATATTCTCTTGCTAGTTGATCATGTGCTGTTTTGACTGAAACTGTAACATTTTCTTTTTTATAATTTCAGAAACATCAGAACAATCCATTTTTGTACCTCGGCCTAATGGTAAAGGTTATCAGTTGAAGGACAATATCAAATTTCATTTATACATAAATACTGCACCCTGTGGAGATGCTAGGTTTGTATTGAAGCTAAGATGGCATGCTTTATTAAACTTTGCTTTGTAAATACAAGGAAAGCTCCATATAATGAATTTTAAGTCCAAGAATGTTAAACGTATTCATTGCTGCTTGTCATTCTCAGCTGAATTTGGGTTTTCTTTTTCTCCTCCCACTTTTCTGCTCTTAGCAAATCTCGTAGCTCACATTTTTATGTTTGTTGTTCTACCAGAGTGTAAAAATGTGGCTTTTTATTGGTTGTCAGAAGAAAAAGGGGTAAAAAGTATTGAAAAGTAGGTTGTGAAGATGTGAAATCAATAAGTATTGATCAGAACAGGACGTAATGGCTGGGTTTTGTGATGGTGATGATAAAACCTTTGGGTTATGTAACAGCGTGGCAATGATTGAAGAGGTGTACATAGTAAGTGGTCAGGAAGGCTGCTGTAGCATGAAGTTAATGTTCACTAATTTCGTGTACCAGATAGGTCCTAAAAATAATTTAAGAAGTTTGAATTATGACAGTTTTCTAAAGTATTTTCAGAGTGAAACACCATTTTAAGATGAAAAGTTTTGTAGTATAGTGGAAATAAAGTAAAGCTGTCCTGCTATATGCTTCTACTCATTCTTAATCTTGCCACTAGATAAGGGTGAGTACAGTCAGCATCATGCCCCAGCTGTGCTTTACCCCAGGGAAAGGGCCTTGGTAAGCATTACATAGTAGGCTGTATACTGGCTATAACAGAGATAATATTTCATGTGATGGGTATTAACTCCATGGAGCAAAGTCTACCTTGAGAAACTGGTAACACTTCTGCTGGTTAAGAAATTCCTACCTTTCATGGAAGCTGAAAGTTTATTATTGTGTTTACCAGATCTTGTCACTGAACTGTAACAATTAAAATCTGGGAAGGTTGAATTACAAAAGTATGCTACCAACCCTTTTCTGATTGGCTTAGAATTAGGCAAATAGCATACAATAGAAGAGTGTTGTTTCTGTTCTTCCCATGCTACTGTGATCATGTTTTATGTGTTGGTTAGTTGTCAGTCAGTTTTCAACAATTTCCTGCCAGAATGGATGGAAGGTAGTAAATGGTTGTCGTTTGTGGTCTTCTGGATTGTGAGACTGCATAATCTTGCCTTGAAGTGCACTTCAGCCCTGAAGATGGAAGTGATATATTCCTCTGAAATTTTGGTAACTACAAGACTACATGGCGTCACACACCAGAAGACTGCAGCTGACTTCTTTGTGCTCAAATCTGAGCTAGTGAGTGGTTCCTTGAACAATCCTGTAACAGTATCGTACCTTATACCAGTCTTTATTTCATAGCGTTCTTTAAGTGTTCAGCTTACAGTTTAGTTGTGACATTTTATGGTTAATTCTAGTTAAAAGGAAGTGTATTTTTTGTATTAGTTTTTGCTTTAATTTAGGATGCTTTATCATGAAATATTTTTCAGATGCCTATTATTGAATCTGTTCACGTTCACGTCTGTTGTGTTTTTTAAAGGATCTTTTCTCCTCATGAGGCTGTATCTCAAGATGACTCCATTGATAAGCATCCAAACAGAAGAGCACGAGGACAATTAAGGACAAAAATAGAGTCTGGTGAGGGAACTATCCCAGTGAAGTCAAGTGATGGTATTCAAACTTGGGATGGAGTTTTACAGGTAAGTCTTGGTCTTAATCTTAAAGATGGGAGCATCCTGTTTGTACAAAGCTTTAATTTACAGGTAAGTACTAGTAACATAAGATATACAAAAGAGGTACAAAAAGAGCAGACATAGGTACAAGAGGAGTGTTATAGGAAGCTATAAGAAAATAATGGAAAAATTTTATCTTCCAAAGTAGTTACCTTCATATGCAACATATTTATTCCATGTGATTTTAAGGAGCACATAATCTTGCCAGCAGATTTCTGGGCACAAAACATGCTTTGCACTATTACTGCATGTTCTCCTATTCAAGTTCCAGATCCCAGTGCTAAGCCCATGTTTCATCTCCTGTCACAGTTGTTAGAAGGGATAGTATCTGCATCCTGTCTAAATGGCTTCATATGTGTTTAAATCTTTCAGACTGTATTCTGGAGTTAGAGTTCTTAGTACTCTACTGACATTTGGCATTCGTAATTTTTCTTAAACAATGGGGAAAGTACCGCTTATAGAAATTCTACAACAGATATGGATTTTAATACAAGTGTGTTTAGTTATCGTAACTAATAGTTAAAGAAACTTAACAGAAATAATCTTTGGCCACTGAGATTACATTGGTTGTGAAATGTGTTTATACACTTGTAATTTTCATACCAGCTCAGTGGAGGGGGGACAGCACACTCAGAATAGCTCAGACAGTGGCTGTCAATGCCATGGTGTGGTAAATGTTACGAACATGTATGGTTTTTAGCAGTGTTCCTGATGGCTTAAGTGTGTGATGCAGAACAGTACTGTATGGTACAAGTAAATGGGTTTTGTACATTTAGGTTCTGTATTTATCGTCACACCTGTGTTATTCTTTAAGTGCAAGTGCACAAGAAGGTCTTCATTGTAGCACTACAACTAATTTTCTTCATTATCTTGATTTCAGTACTTTGGCACTTTGTGTGGGCAAAGTGTTCAAGTAAATTGTTCATATAATTACCAGTAGGCTGTGAATGCTTAAGTTCTGCCTGGTATTAAATAAAGCGTGTGTGCAGTGGTTGCTTAACAGCACCTGAGCTGTTACTAGTCCTTGTGTCTACTAGTTTACATCATAAGTGTAATTGTAATAATTCAAATCTGTGAATGTAGTTAGTTCTTCTTTTAGGGTCAGAGATTGCTGACAATGTCATGTTCAGACAAGATTGCCAGGTGGAATGTTGTGGGAGTACAAGGAGCGTTACTGTCACATTTTGTTGAGCCTGTATACCTGGAGAGTATTGTGCTTGGAAGTTTATTCCATCCCAGCCATATGTACAGGCAAGTGAATTCTTATAAAATTAATCAATTTCTGTATGTACCTTATAAGAATTGCTCCGATGATGGAGGCGGCAAGCACCTCTGAAACGTCGGTAAACTACCAGAGTACGCAATGCAACAACCCAGAGGACAGCCATTTTCATTAATTGCCATGTTTTGAAAATGTTCTTTTGTAGCAGTGTATCTTGAAAATTTATGAAACTAAATTCTATTTTATGCTGTGTCATGTCACAACTGAAGAACCATTGAACTGGTTTTAATAAAATTTTGTATTGGAGGTTCTTGTTTGTATTATCGTGTCTACTACACATCTGTATGTGTTGTTTCCATCTTATAACATTTTAGTTATTTGAATAATGTTTTAAAGCAGCTTTGTTGCAATGATTGTAATGATGGCCAGTATTTATGAAAAATATTTGCATATTCATGATTTTACTTTGCATTCTGGCAGTCTGTATATAAGGAAATTTGTAAAATCACTTGTTTCCAGGGCTGTGTGTGGTAGGATTGAAACTACAATCCAAGGACTTCCTCCTCCTTATCGACTGAACAAGCCACTTATGAGCCTTATTACTTCACCAGAGGTACGACAGCCTGGTAAGGCACCTAACTACAGTGTGAACTGGACCACAGGTAGGGAGATGCATGGTTCATAGTATTAATTATAATTAATGCTTTAAAATATGGTGCTCATCTAAATAATATTTAGAAATTAAATTTTTACCTCAGAAACAACTCAGCACTTTTCTGTTACAAAAATCAGTTTGATAATGCTATTTAAACCTTGGACACCTTTATTTTTAATATGTAGCATTTTCTTTTGTTGTATGTCACCAACATCAATGCACTGCACTAACACACTAAGGATGTGTTTCATACTACTTCATCTTGCACACTTTAAAGGTGTTTAAAATATATTATGTTTCTTTGAAGGTAAAGGTTTGCCCTTTCTGTTGATATGCAAGTTTGTTTCTTGCTTAATTTTTCCTACTTCTGCTTTATTTTATGACCATCATAACATTGAAAGAAAAATACAGTTCATCAGTTTGCCTCTCAGTGCAAAATCTCAGTTTGCTTCAAATGTTGAAGTACTTTTCAAAAGTATTTTTTTAAATGAAAGGTGTACCCTCATGGACAAAGTTCTGTGCTTCTGTTTGGCATATGAATCATGCCTTGGCGTGGTATAATAGGGTTGTTATATGCATCTTTGAGTTTCTTGTTCTTCTGTTCGAAGCATCTGTAGTAAGTTGTTTTATGCTTCTGTCATAAATTTGTAACAATATGAAGACTTCATAAGGCTGTCTTTAAATCTGTAACTATGTTATGTGACTATACAATAAGTTAAAGGTTAAAGTTCAAAGATTGTGCCTTACGAATATTCTTGTACCACCAGTATCAGTCAGAGACAGCAATCAAAGTAAATAGTCAGTATATTGGCTGACTATGGACTGTATAACTGAGGTTCTATCCCCAGCAGGAGCAGAGGGTTTTTCTTCTAATCTCTGCATCCATATTGGCTCTACAGCCTTCCCAGCCTCCTATCCAGAGGGTATCATGGGTTATTTCCCTGGGATTAAAGCATGGCCGAGATGTGACTCTGACTACTCCCATTCATCTAGTGCCAAGGTTGAGAACAAGTACGAGCTATACCTTCTCTACTCCCCTCGGTCTCCTTTACAGCATATATCAGGGACAGCTTTACGTCACTTTTACCAGTATCAAACTCAGCATCCAGTAGCAAGGGTAAGAATTTGAGTGTTGATAAAATTTATTATTTTGATATGATTCTGATGACTGATATTGATTTTGAGTGTCATTGATAGTTATGATGATTGTACTGTTGTCTATGCAATCAGTGCCATAGCAACAGAATAATAACTAGAAAGTGCACACATTGGTCAGGTTCAGACTGGAATGGAGAATAATACAGGCCAGCGTGACATTGTAGTTGTTTTTCTAATGTTCTATAATAGACTTGTGCGATGAAATTGTGGTTGAAAAAAAATGCTTCACCCAGCAGTTCATAAATTTCAAAACATTTTCACTTGTATTGTAGTCAAATAGTGAACCCCCTATGACTGTAAACAAAATGTGTGTTATGACTGGTTTTTTATGCTAATGGGGATCATAAGTAAATCCACCAATAGGTCTTGCTTTTCTATAAAAGGAATTCTGTCAACACCAGGCTTCAGTGACGTGATATCAAGGCACAGGCATCAACTAATATGCAGCGTAATCCATTTTTCTGATTGTAACTGCATAGACAATTGTGTTGGCTCTCTTATATTTTTCAAAATATTTCCTGTTATTTCATATCTGAACAGAAAACTTCAGAATCTTTATGTTCCTGGTCAAAATATCTGACACTGTGGAAGGGAATGTTATCTTTCAAGCAGTATTTGCCATTGGAAGCTCCCAAATTTAGCATAAGGACCTGTGAATTGTGGGAGTCTACATCTGGTCTTTTGAGGTACACACTGGCAGTGACAAGTTTGGAGTCACATAAGATAACCTGCCGCCAAGAAGACCGCTTCTATTGTGTTATAGTCAGATATTTATTCCACAAAGGACAAACATTGTGGCTGGACAACTGTGTCAACTGACTGACTACATTACTCAAGAATAAATGGGCTGGTTGTTAGGGGACACTCTGACTAAACAGAAAGGGAGTGCCCAAAACAGTAAAAGAATTTAGGAAGGGCATAGTAGTACCTCAGAATTCAGGGTTATTCATTGTTGCGAAGTGAAGTTATAAATTGTTACAATGATTTTATGTACCATGGGGCTGAAACTCAGTCTGAAATAGAGGAAAAGAAAAGGAAAAGCCTCTGAGTATTACAGAAAGAGGTATTGATCTGAAGGATCAGCTGTTACAGCCTGTTTAGTAGAAAGCAAATTTCTGCATAAGAAGAATATTGAACTCTTCAGGATACTTAAAGGCTACTGTGGTAAATTCATTGATGACACATGAGCACATTACCAGGAAACATGTTCGTCATATGGTGTTTAAAGTTCTGCTGGTATAGGAGCTATTCCTGCAGTTTGGTGATACTGAGTACAAAGTGTCAGGCTGTCATGTATCTGATAACATGCTCGTTTGACCAAGAAGAAGACATTTCCTGAGGAAAATGCCACCCATGGGAAAAAAGGTAAGGCCACAAATAGGGTGTGTTGTGTGTGCAAATAACAGAAAAAAATACTCTCTTGCTGCCAGGCTTGTGATATCAGACCATGCCTAGAAGGATTTCTGAGTTGTACAGTATCAAATTAAATTTTGAGGTAAGCTGGAACGAGTTATGTGATTCTGTAGAATTTAATGAATATAATATGAACTTCAATATTTATATAAAATACTGTATTTTGAATGTTTAATATTTAAATACCCTCTGACATTGCACTAGAGACTTATTACAAGTGCCCCCTATTGCAAAAGTTAAGGAAATAATTAGTTTCTTCTGAGAATTATACAAAATCTATAAATGTGCTGTGTAGACAGAATTCAGTTACTGAACACTAAAGCAGGTGTGCTTTAAAGGGTTAAGAAATCTTGTGTTGTTCTGATGTGGTACAGAAGCTATTTTACTCAAACCCAGTTCTGTCCTGTGATGTACTACAGCAGTCATTCTCCTGGTAGCATTAATGCACTTGTTTTGTCTATCTCAGTGACTGCCTGGTATCTTTTAAGAAAGCTGTGATATTCCACAAAAAAAAATCAGATATATCTCTTGAGAATTTTGCAGAAACTTATCCAATATACACTAAGTCATTCTTGTCCACCTATTAAGAGATACAAGAAATGTCATCAGAATTTTTAATTTTGTACAGAGTGTATTTTGGAGGTTGTTTATTTTGGAATAGAGTCCAAGCAGGTGACACAGGGCAAAAAACTGTTCATTATAGCTGTATTCCTGGAGGAAGAATGAATAAAGCTGAAACAATTTCAGAAGGAGAAAGTCCCAGGACATGATAACATTGCCAGTTCCCAAAAAGATCAACTTTGTGGCATATTACCACACCTGTTTTCTATTCAGAAGGTATCAGTTTACATTATGGCCACAACTGACTATTGTTATATAATTTTCAATTATTTTTAGATATCGATGAACGACTCTTGGGTTACAAGCCATGTCAGATGGCTTAAGTGAACAAATCACATCTTCTGCCAACATTTCGAGAACAATCTCTGCTCTCATCATCAGGGCTGCTGCGTAACAAATCTGATCCTTTGTAGCACGCAGCAGCCCTGAGGATGAGAGCAGAGATTGTTCTCAAAATGTTGGCAGAAGATGTGATTTGTTCACCACTCAGCCACCTGACGCAGCTTGTAACCCGAGAGTCTTTCATCAACTTCAGTCACCATGAAAGCTTTACTTTATAGATATGTTTAAAAGTGAGAGTTAAAACTACCTATAATTTCTTATGTCTGTCCATTATTAGTAACAATGCCCAAAATACTACTGATTTTTGTTTAAACTCAGAAACCTGCACTCAATTTTATCACATTATTTTGATTTTAGATTAGTTTCTTTCACTTTAAAGCCACTACTGAAATTACTAAATAAACTTCTGCTGTATTCTGTTAGTCTTTTCTTAAAACTTGGTATATGTCACGTTTGTTATGCAGGTGTTACCATGTGTGAATTTAATTCATGTTAAGGGCTATGTAAGAACTAATTCAACTTTTATATTTTCTGAGTCCTTTTGAGTTTTTGTGAAACACGATTTCCAGCCCTTCTCTTATATTTATTATATCTTTGATGGTTTTGTTGTAATACAACTTTTAGTAAATGTTATACAAATTCTCTTGTTTATTTTATTAGAAGGTATGTGTTAGTTATGTTGCATATGTAAGAAACTCATCTTTGTTTTATAGTTGAGAGACAAACATAGTTGTTGAATTCTAGGACAAGAGGATGCTGAGATAATTAACTCAATAACAGGCAAAGATGATCAAGGTGTTGCATCTCGCCTGTCAAAACAATGCCTGTTCAAACGTTTCTTCAATCTTGTGGGAAGAATTGGTTCAATAACAGGATTGACTGTTGGATCATGTCCACATCAGTACTCAGGTGCTAAAGAAGCAGTTCAAGATTATAAGGTATGTCCAGTGTGCCTCTCTCTGTGGAAAATAACAGTTGGAAAGACAGGTGTACATCAAGTTTCCAAGTCAAAATTAACCAAAGCAGATAAAGAATTGTATAGTTTTATGCATTCATCATTTTAAATAATGATTTATTTTATATTATGTAGGATTTAATGTCCTCATGGCTGTGAGTACAGTGATGGCTGTATTTTGAGTTGTAGTGCCATGGTGCTACAACCATCTTCATGATCTGTGTTCTTTACAATTTGGACTTTTCATTTTGTTTCTTATGTAGAGTCTCTAACATTTAAAACTAGTCTTCTGACCACTTATACTAATTTCAGCATATACTGATAAGCTGTATTTGCATTGAATAATGCAACTTGTTTTAATATCTCTTTCTCTGTGTCACATATCAAAGTGGGAATATCATTTGATTGTGAACATGTGCAATAGCAGTGGTAAACGTTTGCTCCTTCTATAATGGTTATTTCTATCCTCTAAACTGATGTATGTAAAAGAGGATGACTAAGAAGTGAATTGATTTCCAGTTTACAAGAAAACTATTTGTTATTACTGATATACAGAATTATATCCTTTGCTGTATTCCTTGTTAATGTGTAGTGCAAAGTGTTGAATTTTGCCATAATCTCTTATTACAGTAGAGTGAATTGTTCATGTTGCTGTGTATTGCAGATGGCAAAGGAGCAGCTGGTGCTTGCATTCCACAAAGCTGGACTGGGCACATGGCTGAAGAAGCCAATAGAACAAGACCAGTTTGAATTAGATGATTCTGTATTAAATAATCATCAGTGACTGGAAGATGGTCCTTTTGGGGTTTACCTTGCAGAATAGAGCAGTTGCTCAGTCCTCCGTCCCTCCCTGTCACAGTTGCTCCCAGAAGCTAAATCCACACTTGGCACCAGTAAAGAGCAGAGTCTGGAGAACTGAGCTTAGCACTTCCTTTATTCTTGCTCACAACTCATCTCAAATTAGTAGTTAACCCCAAGCACCATTAATATTAACTTACTTTTCTTCTAGTCATGTAACACTGCAGTAGATAAACAAATTTTAGGGATCATGTATAAAATGGCTGCTGAGATAAATAAACCGTTACTTTGTGATTTATTACAATTTATATTTGAATTTGTGCGGGGAACAAAATCAAATTGCCTCCTAAAATAACAAAATATACATGAGAAGAAATACACTGTCGATAAAAATCAAATTTTAAAGTAAAGGCGCTATCCATTATGCATTCTTTGCATGAGAATGCATGTGGGGTTGATCCTGTCTGTCCCTCATGATTCAGCTTGGGAACTGCTGGATATATTTGGATGAAATTTGGTGTGGATGCTATGTGATTGGTGTCTACCCTAAAATCATACTTTTCAATTTCCTACAGTTGGTAATACCAGCATTGTGGATGTATGAACATGTGAGCTGATATTGACATTGGTGTCACTTGCAGTAGGGCCAATGTTGTATGGTTATAGATTTTCAAAAGATACAAAACTCTGGAAAAGCAGCCACATGAAAGAAAAAAGATATTTTGACTTGACAAGGATTCAGTCCCATCACCCCATGCATATGAGTCCAGTATGCTACCACAGACATGATATGCCTTGTGGTCTATCATTATTGATTTACATTATTTAAATATGACATTCAAACCACATGATTGGTATAGTTGGAAACTAAAGTTGACCAAGTAAGATAATTGAAGTAATCCTGTTTTGATAATTGTTCTTTAGGAGCTAACAGGTCAAGAGGCATTTCAGCATATATCATAGGTTATACATTGTGTTTCTGGTTCAGTTTATAATAGATGTATGCTGTTCTCTCAGTATTCAGTTTCTGATAACAGTAGAGAAGAAATAAAACATTTAAAGTATATGTTCATGCATTTCCATGAATTTTGTGGAAAGTACATTAGATTCCAATTCACTCATTTGTTTTTTTTAATATAAAGGTAAATATAATGAATGAATGAATCTTTCATTAAAGATAGATGCTTAAGTTTTTACATTGCCTGCAGTGTATTGCTACATTTAAGAGGATGTTATGTTTGTGTAGTGTATGTATGGTGTATATTTTTGTTTCAGTGAGAAGCATTCAGAATTCTGAATTTGCAAAGAACGTGCACTTGTATATTCTAGTATGGTTTACACCTTCCATTTTTGTTCAAAATAATTTTAGTAAAGTCATTTATGTTAAAATTAATACAATAACAAGCATTTAGTACTCATTTAATTTAATGAGCAAATTTATATATGATCCCTGGCATAGTATGGTTTCCTGTTTATTTAGGTGTGATGGAGCATGAATGTACAATGTGTTTCACATTCGTACCACTAGCCTCCTCCTATTTTCATGTAAAGTACTTGACATCTTCTTCCACATGACACTACTCACTTCTTACAGTACATTGTGATCTGGTTACTCAGATTTCTGTTCACAGGCAAATTTCATGCATGCCATATTTTAACATAATAGAGCATTTATTGGTATTTATATTAGCATTTCTTTATCATGAAAGTTGTGTTTTAACAGCTTGAAGGATGACATTCCATATAAACAGCAGAATAAACTCTTTGATGAAAATTTGCAAGTTCTGAAGTAAACCTAAATTTTGTTCTGTAATTTGAGGTTGTGTAAATGTCTTATTGTGTATGGTGTAATTTTATTTGTGGTTACTATCCTTTAAAAAACTTTAACTTTCAAGGAAATAAACTGGCATATTCAGTAGTTCATTTGACAGTACAATTGTTATGTCATGGGCTACTTGTATCTTCACAAAGTGGCTCACTTGATATTCCAACATAGGTTTTTTATTTGTGTGAGAAAATATTTATAAAATTATAACAATTATTCCCGCTATATCTTCACCTGCTGGATACTACAAAACATGTTATATAACATGTCTATGAGGATTGGCTGTGAAGTAGATGGAGAAATGTAGGCAAATAGGTTTGAAAAACATGCAAATACTGCCTGTAACAGTTGGTAGTGTGTTGTTATTGTTGTTATTAATGATGTTGCTTGCGTTTACCAGACTCTGCCCCTCACTATGCCAAGTCAGTATGGGATGGTGGACTGAAGACCAGGTCTATTCTGTTAGTTGTTTGTCTCCAGGAATCCCACTCAGAGCCATTGCTGTTCAGTGGTGCCTGAAAAGTAATGTCATTGCACTTGCTGACATTGCCAGATCCAACGCAAGACATAACCCAGTTTGTGGACAAATGTACAGTTTATCCTGCTCAATGTATTGTATCTCTTGCAGGGGAGGGAGAGCATGGAGAGAATATTTTAGACACTGAAATGAAATTTAATTTGTGTTTAATAAAATTGTATTAGGCTATATCAGTGGAACATTATTGTTAAAGTATATGAATGTTGTAAACAGGTAAATAATGCTGCTTCCCTCTTTTAGCCATTGTTAACAATTTCTTAGATCTATTGATCTAAGGTCACTTGATAAGGCTGATTGCTGTTTGAAGTTGTGACTCATTTCATTGCATCCCATCCTTCAGTTTTTCTGTAACTTGTAAGAGGATGTTTATAAACAAGTGCAACATTTTATTAACAGTGGTCACCTGTTTATTTAATAACTTTTTTATTTGTTGTTATTAATGCTTTTAAAGAGGGACATTTCACTCAACAAAGCATCAGTGTTTGATTCTTGTAAAACAATGAACTTAAATGTGTTTTGTAATTTAAAATTGGTTGTAAATACACAACATTTCAATATTTATTGAAAGGTTGTGTATGGTTGCTTTTTTAATACTTCAAGGGAACAAATAGATATTTTCAGTAGTTAATATATTGATGGTATAATTATTGTTCCATAGGATACTTTTCTGGTACAAAGTGTCTCACTTGTCATCACACAATTGTATTTTTATTTATGCAAGAAAATAATCACTATAATGACTGGTTCTTTCTGCTGTCTCTCTTTAGTATGAGTGAACATGCATACAAAATAAAGACTGACCAACGGAATTCACTATTTAGTAAACAGGACAGTCATTTGTTGGTCAGGTGTAAATTTCTAAGAGCTTTTCTTCACATTATAGATGATTTATCAGTTCATCCTGACAGAAAGGTGCCATAATGTTAAAAGAGACAGGCTTCACAAATGTTGATGTTTGTTACATTCCTGGTAAAATTAACCATACTAGTATTCAAGGTAAATGTAATTTGGATTTCATTTTCTTCATACAAGAAGAATGGAGTTATCTTTTTTAATGTGGAAATTGATGGTATATGATACTGGTACCATTACACCTTTCTGTAAAAAACTAAGCATAAAATTATAATATAAGTAGATTATATAATTTCTTTGGATAAAAATGAGATAATTTAATATACTGGTGACCTCTGTTTAATGTTTAGTTTGGTTGCTTTGTCAATCATTAATTTATTGTGTTCATTGTCATTTAAGTTTTCAGTTTCAGGCATATTAATTTTGTCAAAAGTTATGTTCCCAAATTTATTTTTGTTTTATCTGTTTGGTTGTGATATTACAAAGTTAAAACTTGTACTTGCATCCGTCAGTGGTGACTGCAGCATTACAGAATCAGTAATTATTTCTGTAGCAGAAATATTAAGATTTGTAATTACATAAGCATATTGCTGTTCTTGAATCATCTTACTTGAAGTTTCATATGTTTTACATTGTTGAATTTTTAAGTATTTGATTGTAGTGATTGCCCCATTTTTATGAAAGGTTAATTGACTTGCACAAGTGTCAGACTGTTATAATATCACAAGTAATAGAATGTTTCTGATCATTATAACATAGATAATCATAGCCTTTGGCAGGTATTCTAGGCTATAAAACATTCAGGGTCCCAGAGAATATATATCATATTTTAAATAGTGTTACAAACATAATCTCTGTAGTTCCTTTTTAAGTACGATCAAACATGCTTATGAAAGTTAAGAAGAATTTAGGATGAGACAATATGATGTACTGTTTAAACTTTCCAGCATAACAAAAATGAAACTTGCTAACTTAAAAGTTCTCTCTTTCTTAGCATTTTGTAAGTTTTTGAATTTTCAGAATATTTAACAGTCTCACTTTACCCAGGGACTGTGCTAGCAAACTGTAATTGGATATAGTGTGGATATGAATTAAAGAAATACTTCTTTCATTCATATCCATTTTAGAATTAGGAATAACTGTGCGAGTGATTTGCCTACTCGCATCATACTTAAAATATTGCGGGTTTTAACTTTTTGGAATGGTGCAGAACTCCATTGAAACATTGAAATATTAGATAGTATATGACTTAAACAAATTAATGAGTCTGGAGAATGCTGTTATAACACTGGCATGTTGGTACCTTGTTCAGAAAGATTAACATTGCTGTTAAAGTGAAAAAGTCAGACTGGCACAACAGCCAGAGGTTTGTTACACTGTGTAACTCAAGACCAGTATTATTTCGTTGAATCATGACCAATTATTTATGTATCATGGATCAGTATAGTTACCAAATAAGATAATTTGGTGTATAGCTTCACCACCGTCAAAAACTGCTGGTTGAATCTCAAGATACATTATCACAGTAGGTTTCTTCAGTATATTGTTTTTGCTGATAAAAGTTTTAAATCAGTTTGGTATTATGTGTAGTTTTAGAAATATTGTGAGTTCAATTACCAGATGTTTAAAAATTTTCTGGATTTAATCTATTCTTTGTAAATAAGTTCTGTGTATATTTACACACATATACACAAAGATAAGCATAGCACATTTTGTGGGTTTATGTTTTAAGCCCTCGGTGGACTAGTGGTTAGCGTGCTCACCACTGGACCCAAGGTCAGCAGGTTCAAACCTGTCCAAGGTCGATGGATTTATAAGGGTGATAAAAATCCGTAGCATAACTTCCTTTGGAGGGAAAGTAAAGCTGGTGGTCCCATGTTGTAGATTTATGGCACGTAAAAGAACCCTACGAGCATGATACAAGATGTTTCGTAAGCCAAATTCAGCTGCCATTTCTCACCCACCTCTTTCCTGATTCACTGCTAGATGGCTCTGGCAGTCAAATCAGGAGTGAGTAGAAATTGTGCAGTCAATAGGCTGGTCATTCACTACTCTCTCTCTACAAGACTAATAAGGCCCAGTCCTTGTAGCAGTTGATGATGATGTAAGCACTGATAATTTTTCCCATATGTTATATTGTGTAGTTGTGTTCCAGTTACAGATTTCCCCCACCCCCCTCAGAGAACATAAGCCAGTTCTGCACTTCAGTATTTCTTGCATGTACTTTTTCAGGAGAGAATAAGTTTAGAATTTTTAAGCAGATATAAGACCTTATTTATTGTTATAACCACCACCTTGAGCATAGAACTGTATCATGATTATAAATTAAGAAGTACCTCTCATGTTTCATTTAATGTAAATGACAGATTTCCAACCTTCCCACATAATCTGCACACTTTTATATAGTTCTTAACTTCTCCAAGGTTTTTTTACTACTACCTGATTCCAAAACACTGAACCTGTCACTTATAGTACATACTTAAGTAATATCTAGCTTAAATCTCAAGTGCGATTGGCTATTTTGAGTTTAGTATTTCGTGTTTTCCTCTGTCCCCGACCTAACAGAACACTGCCTCTTTTCCTGTTCCTCTGAACTAAGCATTCACAAAAATCCTCAGAGCACATAACCTTTTTAAGAAACAAACACAGCTGCACTGGAATTTAATGTGGAGCGTCAGTTATGAGGATGTGTATACAACCCATGAGTTCAACCAAAATATTTTGATTGGGTGCATAAATCAAATGGTGGGGAGGGGGAATTATTGGATTGAGGAACATTAAAATAGAAAGAGCACCTCCTCTGAAAAGTAGATTGCACTTTATATGAAGTTAATTGTAGACATGATATCAGATACATGTGCATAAGCCCTTCGAAGGGCCAATAATCTAAAATTAATCTTTGGATTCCTTACACTCATGCCAGCAGCAGTTTCCTAGCTATGATAACCTTAGTGCATGTTACAAAACCACTTTATAAGCTGCATATTAAGATGTAACATGTTTCTGATACTGAAATGAATGCCAGGAAAATAAATACTCTAAATCTCAAGTATTCTATAAGTTTACAATAAAAGAACATGTCCAAAAAGAAAAATTCAATAATGAAGCCTTGTAATAGTACTTATATAAATTAAAACTATATATAGCATATCTAAGTATTATCTAAATCTATGCTTTAAATGTAATGGAATGCCAACTTTATGTTCACAAAATCAACTACTTTTCAACGATATGAGTGTCAATCCAAACTTATATAAATATTCTGCTGCACTTATCTATTTCTTCCACTCAAAGCTTTCTGTATATATTAACAATCTGCACATCCATTTAATTAAAGTGCTTACATAATGGAACAACTGCAATTTTTAATTCTGTAGTCAAATTTAAGAAAAATATAATTCTCAGAGAACTTCATTGGAAGCCTTCTCCAATTAAAATGCTTATATGATTGAAAAACTGCAAACTTTTAACTCTGCGGTCAAATTTACAAAAAACATATAGTTCTTAAAGGACTTCACTAGAAGCCTTCTCAAGTACCACAGCTACATTATTGATTTCATCTCCTGTCAGCATGTTATTCACTGTCACACGAATACTGTTCCTTGGGGTAAATTTCTCTGTTTGTAGATATGCAGCTGTTACAACAGCAATGCCATGTTCAATGCAGAAGTCAGCAATCTTGCTTAGGAGATTAAATTCATGGTTAGTACAGTTTGGTGGGTTACGCAAGTACAGATGTTTAACTGGAGAATCAGGATCACCTTGCAAAATAAACAAAGGCAGTGTACTCAGAGCTTTGTGAACAAGCTGACATTGCTGCTGCAATTTCTTGAACAGAGTGGGGTCTTTTTCCATAATATCCAATGAGGTAATGGCTGCAGCTGCTAACAGAGGGGGAAGTGATGCAGAAAAACAGTATCCCAATCCTGAAAGTCGCTGGTGTTCTACAACAAATGAGGAACCAACACAAAAACCACCAATTGTAGCCATAGACCATTCCATACTACAACTTATCATATCTACTTCCTCTCTGGGTATATTGTAATATTCAGTGACACCTCTTCCATGGTCTCCAAGAGTAGCAAATGAAATACTTTCATCTACAAATATGCGCAACCTGTATTTCTTCCTCAGTTCCACCAACTCTGGTAATGGACATATATTGCCACTGTTCATATAGATGCCCTCAACAATAAGGAATCTGCGAGTCACTTGTGCTTTCTTTGGGTTCTTTTTATCCAATGCTGCTTGGTCCATTAGAAGTCTTTCTAAATCTACCATATCATTATGTTTGAAGAAACGAATTTTACTTCGTGAAGCATCTAAACCCTTCTGAATGGCAAAATTCACATTCTCGTCAACAAAAATAACATCACCTCGTTTTGCATATGCTGGAATAGCACTTGCAATTGTAGAAAACCCATAAGAATACACAACTGCTTCTTCCATCTTCATGAACTCTGTAAGTCTGTCTTCCAAGTCCAGGTGAACATCAACTGTACCGTAAAAACCTCTAGGGCCACAGGATCCAACCCCATACTTCTGTAATGTTTTAATTGCACTTTCCTCGATATCTTTGTTCCCTACAAATCCAAGATAATTGTGAGTTGCCATGTTTAAACAATAGTGACCATCTACGTTAATGAATTTACCGGCCTTTCCACTGACCATACGAGGCTTCAGTGATGGATGGTTTTGTGCAACATTCCCAACTAGAGGTTCTGGTGTCCATTCTTCAATCAGCTTCTCTTTTTCAAAATCTGTCAACTGTTCTAGCTCTTTAGGGTTGTAACTTTTATGAAAGATGAGCCACAAAATCCACATCAACAACCCTACTTCAAGGAAAATATGATAAAACGGAACTTCATTCAGTGCTTGAAACACTTCTAGCAATACCCACTGCGTAGCCATGCGAACGTTATCGTGGATATCGTTAGCGTCACAGGAATTTTAATTAGCTCAGTGAATACAGAAATTATCCACGCCCTACTCCAACCACCATACTTATGAGCGTTCCTTCCAGGTAACTGACCACACCTCTTACGCTCACAACTTATCACACATTGATAACTAACCCATCTATCTTGCAGTTACTACAAACATCGTACGCGGTTCCGGCTATTTGTCATAGCGTTGACTAATTGTTGTCCTAGATCATCGGTGCTTGGTTGCATACGATTACTACTCTCAAGTACCTCTTCTCCAAGTGATTGTGTGCATAGGCGTTCTTTGACATATTCAAGTCAAGGAGTTTTACATATCTCCGTCTAAGATAATAGAAAAGTTTTATCCATAGATGATACCAAGAAACTGTATTGATTAGTGTATATGAATTTATCTCATAGTATAATTACAAGACAACTCGTGGGTAGTCGGGTGTTCTTTAAATTTACCAAGGGATAGGCAAGATGTAATTTGCAATACTATTTAAAAAATAGAAAAGCTTCACACGAAAGTAGTGCATAGAACTTGTGGTAACAGTGAATAATGAACGGAAAGAAACAAGTACAGTAAAACCCCTCAAGTTGGACACCCCTTTGTATTGGACATTTGTAATTGGAACCGGCGAATATCCTATAATTTTACTTGTTCACAATACCCTATATCTTGGACACCTCTTTATCCTGGAACTTGAACACCACTTTTGTTGTATGTTGGGCAGGTTCATGCACTTAACTTCGATGCTTTACAGGGAAACGTTTACAGTTACAAATTTTGTTATTTTGAATTTCTGACTGATGAATGCCTCCTCTCTGGAGGATTATCTAATGGACATTGAACCCATCGTTGGAATGCATTGCAAGTGTTTGACTATTCTTTTACTGAACCCTTAACTGGACTATAGTATTGCAGAATACACAGTTTTAACTCCATCAGTACTGTGCTTGCATTTGAGTTCAGACTGTATGAACAGAAATGGAATTTTTCTTTTTGCGATGGGGAAGCGAAAATTGGTGGAATTAACTTTAGAAAATGTTATTGAGGCTGGGGTGTAATGTGCAGTGCATGGGAGTGGGCTTCAAAAGATTATTAATACTATTGTCATTAATTATTAATTCAAGTAAGCCTACAGTAGTTCGTGTATGTAAATAAATAGATTATGTTGCCATTAGACCACAATCTGATTTTTCTCTTTCCTTCTATCTTGGACACCTCTGTAAGTTGGACACATTTTCGTGGAACCCCAAGTGTCCAACATAGAGAGGTTTTACTGTAATAAAATTATAACTACTGAAAAAGAGAAGAATGTACGTTTCTCTCTCTCTCAAAAAATACCCATCAAAAATTAGAGCTGGAGAGGTGATGGGGTTGGAAATACTTTTCAGAATATCCTGAATACTTAAAGGAATGAACTTTATATTAATAAGCACAGGAGAGTTGTAGCAGATATTTATGTTATTTATATAAGAATTTTCAAGAGTGGAAGGAGTATTGGAGGAGTGGAGAATTATAAAATAGGCCTTATTACTCTCAAAAGAATAAATAGCATGTGACTTTCTCTGTTTAAATAGTCTGCCTGAAAGTGCAGTGATGCAGAAAGGCAAGCATACATTTTGTATTTGAACTTAAATGTTAACACAGGGGATTAAATTGAGTATTAGCCATCTATCCCATAATGACATGTGACATTTTAATGTGCTGTTTAACTTAAAGTAATTAATCGCTCACCACAGTTTTCTGTGGTTTGTATTGTGGAGAGCATGTTCCAAAAATAGGATTAAAAGTGTTTGCATTTTGCATAATACAAATGTCTGTATATAAATACTGTGCAAGTTGATACAATTAAAATTTAACATAAGACTGTGTAAGTATATATGCATGTGTGTTTCTACAAAGACCAACCTATTTACCAGAATGTATGACAGCATATTGTGTGTGTATGTGTATTTTTTATGGCATTGCTATGTTTTATCTTAACTTGGATGGGAAACTGAATTAGTAGGCACATCTTTTTTTTCCGTCTCATGGTCAGCGTGACCGTCGTGACCCCTTTTGGGGTTTTCTTGCAAAAGTACCATGGTGGTTTTGCCTTGCCTTCCGTGGCCAGTCTTTACCCACCAGACTGGAAGAGGGGACGCGGACAAACATCCATGCCTTGAGTGGGACTCGAACCCACGGTCGCAGTGGCCAGGCGCACAAGGACCATGCCTCAGACTGCATGGCCACTGCGCGGGCAGGCACATCATTGGTAAATTACAAATATATTCTGGAGCAGTAATTTCATTAATTTTACAGTACACAGTATAATAACACTTAGCTATAAATATAGGCATTTCATTGATCACAATATAAATGATATGTTGATATGTAAACATTTCCTGCTTTAATAACAGTTTTTAATTTCATATACCTATTAAATAACCACTATTATCTCATAATACCTTTGTGTCACAGTCTGCATTATTTTTAACACAGCATTTTCTTGAAGATAGTTAATGAAGTTGGTGTTATGATTGTTTTGCATGCTGTATAACTTGTCCTGGTTGCTTCTTTTAACATCTTTTTAGCACTACACACACTTGGAAACATTTACATATTTGTTTAGAATTACTTCCCCCTTATGCAGAAAATGAAAGATTTGATTTCATTCATGAAAGACTGCTGGGATGAAGGTTGTAGTTTCATTTTGTTCTGTCTTGTGACATTCTTTCTTACTTGCCTCTTGATTCTTTCAAAGCAGTTGTGAGTTTGTTTGCAATATTTGTAACTGTAAATCTGGACTGTTCAACCTATAAATATTTTTATCATATTCTTGTGACCCTTAAATCAGAAATTGCTTTTCTTACAACCAAGGCTTTTGTATATGTGTTTGTGTGTATGCAGTTGACTGAAAATATCTTTTTCATCTTGCTTTAAAGCAAGCCTGTGTGCTTGATTTGTTTGGATACAGTTTTTATATGGAAGGGTATAACGTAAAAGAGCTTTTTTCCAACTTTAAATGAGAATGCTAATCATGATTTTTGAATGTGGATAATTATGTCGCTGAAGTTAGGGTTTTTAGATAATAATGCAAATATAGGTTCCAAGATTTCAAAGGAAACATCAAACATCTTTTTGCATATATATATCTTTCTTCAGTGTAGATGTTCATGTAGTGCAGGGATTTTGAATCAGAATGTCAGAATTCATCAGCTGTGAAATTTTACAAACTCTGTATCCCTCAAAACAGTATTTAATGGGCATGCCACTAATCATTCCACATCAAAACTCAGAATACTTATGGACACATTAGTAAAGTAAATTAAGAGTCACCTCTAACATATAAATGGAGATTTAGACATTAAGTACCAGACGGTGTTTTAATGGGGAGAAGTTTAAAACTATCCTACACACTGACAAGTCTAACTAGTTGATACTAATTATGTAAAATTGTATTACAAATAATTTAGCATTGTGTGTTAGTTGTTACTCTTGCAGTTACATGCTTGCTTTCACTGTCCTGTGCCTTGGCATGAGGGTGAATCTTACCCATTGTTGTGGCACAACTGTTTTAACATAATTAGTGGTATAAATAGCCTTAGAAGCTAACATACTTCTAAACTCACAAACATATAATGTAACTGTAATTTACACCACTAAGTACCAGAACATTATGTTGGCCTGGAGTGAGCTTTGTATTTGCAGTGAAACCTGCGTAAAGTTTGTGTCATTATTATTTTCAATGAAATGACACAGCTGAATAAATTTGATGTTTTACAATTGTGTGTTAACACATCTCATGAGAAATGAAAGTAAGAAATAAATGTATATCAAAAGAGGGCACATTTCATGGAATGCATATGATCAGTTTATACAGGTTAACTTCATATATGGTACTGGTATCTGGAAAGTTATGCATAATGGGAAATTACAAGATCTGTTAAGTGTGATGTCCATCATGTTCAAAGAATTTCTCAGTTTGGTAACAAGTTCTCCAGAGCTGCTGTTGGCAGGTGAGCAGGAAGTGCTTTGGTGATATATTAACAAAGATGCTATAGAATGAATTATGCCATAGCTAATTGATCTTACTTAGTTTTGAGTGTTGCCTATGATGTACAACTTTTTACTCATCCTGCTCATTGTAAATATTAGAACTGCCACACAAGTTATTTTCTATTTGAGGAATTAATACTTTTGAATATAACTTAATACCAGGCACAAAGATGGTTATTGTATGAAAAAGTTATATGTTGATTTCATTAATTATACACATTCCATTTGACCATTACTTTTTACCATTAAAATATTGTGTGAAATATTTGTGTTACTTCTTAATTATAGTTACAAACTGGTTTGAAAATGTGGCTTAAGTGGACTTGCACTTGTTTACACAATTTTAACTTTTAAAACATTCTCATACTTCAGTTTCTTGTGCTCTGATCATTTGAACACTGAAACCCGAGTTCTATAGTAAAGAATAATATAATGTGTGAAGACAGTGAAGAAATCTTGCTGGCTGCCTCATATTTTAGTGAAGTATGTTAGTAAAGTTATCTGTTATTAGTTTTGAAGCCATTTAGAAACACTGATGTTTGTGTGTACTTGTTATAATATCCATAACCACAGTTTTTTCTAAAAACACCAGTGTTTTAAAATATTCTCAGAAAACTAACTGAAAAATGTGGCAGGAAGTTATGCTTGTATTCTCTTCGTATCACAGCATAACACAAATTATTATCAGGAAGAATCACTACAATGTTAATAAGTCATAGAGAGTGCTAGTCATGTATTTCAGTTAGAACCACAGTTATGTGTTGAATTAGCATTACAGTTTGCACTCTGGCACAAAGATCATATTAGTTTAATAAATTTGTTTGTGAGCATATATTGCATTTATATATTAGACTCATAGTTTGATCACTTAAAAAGCCAATATATATATAAAGAAGTTCTGAATCCTCTATTTGTTGCATTATGAAGTATTAGACATTCATTAGGTCTAATGCTGAACTGTAAACTACAAGAATCTCATGTTGGAATCTTTGTGGCATTTTATTCTGTTCCTGATTGAAATAACTTCATGTACATAAGTTAACAATTTCACACTGTAATAAAGTGATATGCTCTCAGTCCATCTACTTGATTCAGGAACTCATAAATGTATAATAATGACCAATCACTGAAACTATGAACGGAGGACACCAGTATCTGGTACATTTTTCAGTTACTGCACATAAAATTGGCCAATAAATTCAATGAACATTCTTTAGCAAATACTAAATTTAGGTATTCACTTAAAGGCCATATTTAAAAAAAAACTATTTTAGTTAATTATTTCTAAAAAGGTTGGTGTAAACCAAGATAATCTGAAAGAATTTAAGAATAATGTATTGTTCCTCTTCATTTGCAAAATAACTATCCTTTATTTGAAACATTGATTAAATAAAAGGAGTAAAATTGTGCTTGAATAATTAATTTTTATGCACAATTTAGACTCAACTTCAGTAAATACATTCATGTACATGATTATGAAATGTACATCATTTACATATCCACATCTGATGAATTTCAGAAAACAACTTAATGTACAGCATGTTAGTTGCATATGAATGTCATACAATGGTGCCTCAACTACATCATTCACATGTGCTTTACTCTCCATTATATCTTGCAATACATCTATTTATTATGTACAAGTTAGTGTCATGGTATATTTGAACCGAGTGTTTGGTTTCAATCTACAAATTTATTGGTTCCTTACCTTACATGTTTTTATTATTATAAGTTTAATATAATGTGAAGTTTAGAGGCAATCTGATCACAGTTAACATTGGGAATATAAGTATATTTTTCAACAATGTAACAATGACAACTGAAAAGTAATATAACACTTTTCTCTAACATAATCTCATTGTAGCATGTGTCACATAAACTGAACATAAAAAATCAGATATCTCTTGGAAGTAAACATGTCTCTCCTCATACTTGCTGGGAATTACAAGGCTTTTGTTTATTGTCCATTCACAATTCACATATGCAGAAATGTATGAATGGACATAATTAAAAAAGACAAAAGATCTCAGAATCGTACAAACCACAAACTTCCTTATGTGCAGATATTTAATGACATATTAATATATAAAAAGTTTCTGTCACTAGTGCATTCTTTAAATTATTTGTGTACTGAAGGTTCTTCATTTTTAATTAAATATTCTACTCAGCTTAATACCTATAGTAATATGTAATGCCATCTGTTTACTTTATTAATGTTACTTCTTGCAAACAGAATTGCTAAATTCAAAGAATTCAGTATTCTAGCCATGAAGAATTACTGCGTTATAGTTAATAGAGTATATAACTAAGTTACCTTATGTCTGACACTTTCACATTTCTTGATCAACATATTTAATTTAGGATTCAGAAATTCATAAGAGACTGCAGTATCTAAATCTAACATACAATTTATAGATATTTATTTGTTGTTTGGGAGTCTTAGATCTTCAGAGTTTGATATTTGAATGTAGTTTGTAGTTTTTCTTAGTTGTTCCAAGCAAGTAGAAGGATTGTACATGTAATATAATACATATGCCCTTTTGCTGCAGACAATGCACCAACAGTGTGTTACCCAGTAAAAGGAGAGAGGTGAATTTCATCCCCTGTTTTACTTGACGTTGGATCCCTATTTATTTAAGTGGTTAAAACAGTGAGATTTCTTACTAATGGCCAACGAACCAGATTCGTGGGGCGGCTCATTAATATTTTGCCGTGTCAATGAGCCAGTCTTGTTATTAGTGCACAAATAGTTAATGATGTTTCATTTTTAAAAAAGATTGCATGCTTACATATTGTAATCTAATAAAGGGAAGACACAAAGTGCTTACAAGAAAGGATGTTCAGATGCACAAAGCACACATCACATTTACACACACACACACATTTTTCATTTATTTTCTCTCTCATTATGAACAAAAATTGTTTTCTGTATATCTGCGGCATTCACTTGTGTTAACAAGTATAGTAAAAAATCTCTTTAAATTATAATTTATATTTACTGGGTTGAAAATTAATGAAAATGACGTGAGTGGGGCATTTAGCACACACATGACAGATGAGAAATGCATACAAAGTTTTGGTTGGAAAACCTGAACTGTAGATACCACTTGGGACACCGGACAATAAGAGGATACTATTAAAATGTTGGGTGAAGATGTGGACTGGATTCATGTGGCTCAGGATGGGATCCTGTGGCAGTCTATTGTAAACACAGTAATATCTTGATCAGCTGAGTGATGTCAGCTTTTCAAGAATTTGTGTGCTTCATGATATTAGTTGAAAGAAAATTACAGTCTCCATACATAAATAGAAAACAGAGTAGTGACAATAAAGCACTTATACTGTTGTTTAGACAGTGTGAGTGCTTCACTGTAATATATTCAACAGAATGTTTTATTTCAAGATTACAATTAATTCTGTTCGGAGTACTGAGCATTGTATTAGAATTGTAACTGCCTGCAAACTCATATATTTCTTCTTCACACATTACCTTACAAGAAAATTAGTCTGCCATTGATAAAGACTAAACAATACTGTGATACCAAAGCCATTTTGAAAACTGCTTGCAAGTACTCATACTGTTTGTACAGCACAAAAGAAAATTCTGTATTGTTGTAACACCATATATGCTGCTGCATGATGTTTTTAGGGAGTAGGTTGAAGAGTCGTGCAATTTTACCAATCATAAGAGTCATGCTGGGGAAGAGGACCTGGCTGCTGTGTGTGTAGTCGTGTGAGTGCCGGGGCTGCCTTCGTATCTTCATACTGGGCCAGCAACTCAGTATACATCTGCCACACAAATCAAGGTATTTTGATGGCATATGTATTTGCAAAGTGAATGCTGGAAATAAGAGGCCATTAACTTCTTACAAAATACATTTGACTAATTTGTATTATATAAAATTGAGTTTGATGTTTCTATGTGTGTGTATGCTTGTGTGCAGTCCTTGGGGAACACGTTGATGTAGCATGGCTAATATTTTTCATTATTATTCTCCTGTAATAATATGTTTCGAGCAATATTCTTTGCCTACAACTATTCTGGGTGTAAATTATAGAGCCATGTGCAACCAGTTTGTATTTGGAAGGTTCAAGGTACCAGCTAAAGTGATTGAAGTTTCTTCTGGTTTTCCTCAATCTCTCCAGGAAAGGACCTTTAATTAAGCTGTAACTGCTTCCTTCAACATCCTTCCCAGTTCATTATTCATTAATCATTCTCTCATCTGATGATAGACTGAGTTACCAGAATAACATCTTACTGAAGGCATATGAAAAAGAGTCCATTTATGCATTTAAATGTTATTGTAAGCATTCTGTAAGTACAAATTCACTGTATATTACTGGGAAAAAGTACTTGAAAGAGATTGTTCATCTAGTCTTTTCCATTTCTGCTTAGCTCCTAGACCAGTAATGCATGAACCTTCTCCAGTAATATGCTTAACTTGTAGTTAATGAAATTGTTGTCATGCAGGTAATTAATAATACATCTGAAAATGTTGTATATGTAAGTTATCTCAGAAAAGCAAATGGTATTGAGGATTACAGATAGAAGATAATATTTAAAATATGCAGATAAAAACATGAATTTTGAAACACTGTTGTGCTGTCACATTTAAAAAGACATAGATTCTACATTTGTTTACTGATGTCAGATGAACGTTACAATGTAAAGACTGTGTATGTATGTTGATATGCATGGTATGACTGGTATAATTATGAAACTTTTTAAAAACATCTGTTATTCATTTATGTTGACTACTGTTGGAAAGAGCCAGTTGTAAAACAACAGTCTGGATCTAATAATGATGTGTATTTACCTGAAAGTTTCGTCGGATGTATTCTTCTTTAGTTTCTCCATGCCTGTAGCTGTAATTGTAGCCACTTCCCCCACCATTTTGAAGAAAGGGATTTGTGGTGCCTCCTGTGAGCAAATGAAATACACATGTTAGAAGTATTGTAGTGTATTAAGACATATTCTTTAGTGATAATGATGAAACAAAGAGATTTTTGTCACCATTGCATTTCAACTTTGCTTTAGTATACCATTAGGAATGTTCAAGAAAATCGAGATTTCAGTTGAATGGAACACATCTGCTTCTGGTGTATGCTGATGATGTTAATTTAATGGGTGAAAACATAAATGTCATAAAAAATGCAGAAACTATAGTAGATGGTAGCAAGTTAGCTGGTCTACAAATGAACACAAAGCCTTTGTGATTTTAGTTGTAATGGAATAATATTTATGACTGTGTGTGTTTCATGTCATTTCTGATGGGCAATTTATTAGTAAGAAGTATATTCTTGTGTTCTCATTGGATCTATATGTTGGACACTCATATGTTGGACAGCCATCTTCAGACCCACTGCCACAAAAACCTCAAATCCTACATATAGGCTTGTTTTTAATGAATTATTTCATTACCTTATCAAGCATGCACCATAATATCTAGCTATAGTTTTTGCTGTTTTAATAGCCAGTAACATGATTTGGCCAGTTTGGTCATAACTGCTTTCTGAACCAAAATTCTCATTTCTGCCTTGAGCACAAAATTAACGTGTCCCAGTTATCCACGTGACTGACCTCCATTTTGCTGGCCAGGAATATCAAGGTTTCCTCCAGTTGTCTGATAAGTAGCACCGTAGCCTGATTGGTCTGGTCCAGCTAGCTCATGGAGACGACTGCTGGATAGTGCTCGTGGTATGGGATTACTTGGAACTCCATGTGGAGCCAAGTGTGCTGTTTCTTCAGCTACCTATATGACAGAGATATTCTTTGATGTTTTTCAAATCCAGTATATGAAATATCCATACCACTGCCTTGTCCTAATGCATATCACTCTGTTGCATGTATGTTAAAAAATTCAGCATAATTACCATAAAATTTGGGCAGTTTTATTGAAAGTGTTGTCATTAGTACCTACACTGTAGGTGATGGTTGTCTGTCTAGTAATGATAGTACTTCAGCAATGTTATCTGTGTGCATGGAAGAACAGTGTGTGCTAAATGTCAGGAATGGAAAAAATACCATAACATTTAAAAACATAGCATTGCATTGTTCATGCTTTACTTCACTTATCCCTTTTCAATCTGGTGCCCTTGGCAACTACCTTGCTTTCCCATTCCTGAGGCTGTCCCTTTATGTATTAAAAGGACGTATGGAATTGTAATAATGACTTCGCTTTCATGACTGCTTATTTTTACCTGGTGAGGATCCTCTGTGGCTGGTAACTCAGACACAAAACCAGTTTCTTTGCGATAAAAGTTGATGAATATAAATCCTGCCAATACCAGCAAGCACATGAAGCCATAGCCCCGGAACGTAGCTGTAGTTCCTGTCAACACAAATACATGATGTTGAGTATTTCAAACTCTTGGATTTCTTTCCAAATAATATCACAGTATGAATGTAGAATTTGTTATTAGGTCTTTTCCTCTTAGCAGTAGTTATATTAGAAGTTTTGAATATTTTGATGTTCTCCCAAGTTTTATTTCATAGTCTGCTGATTTCAGTTTTATTATTGTTGTTGTTGTTGTTGCTACTGTAATACCATTGTTTTGTTTTCTATGGGTCAGTGGTGTGTGATGTAAGTTAAGTATGAGACGTAAGTTAATAGCATATTTAGTTCACATTTAAAGCTTCATTTGATTTTGTTTTGGTTTAAATGAACATGTATATGGAGGCATCCTTCAAAGTTTTGTTTGTTTTTATTTAATTCAGCTTTTAAACATGTGTAGTAATTACTATTAAGAAATGCTTAATAAAAGTTATGCCTGAAAAGGAAGGCAATATTAAAGATATTTCATGGGACATTTTAATTTCCGCTTAGAAATTTGTCAGACATATTGTTGGAAGAAAATAACTCACTCACAGATAGTCCAGAGGTTAACATAGAAGAACAACTTTAAATTTGTGATGAACACTTTTTATCCAATTCTGACATATATTACTAGTGTTATGATTACCAAAGTAATTAACGAAGATTCCTCCGATGACAGCACCACATCCTCGACCCAGACCATGATGGATTCCTTGTAACACACCTTGAGCTGAGCTGCGCAACTGTTGGGGTGTGTTGTGTGCAATATAAGAACAGCATGCAGCCCATACTGCAGCATGGGTGATTCCTGTAAGAAGGCAAGACTCCTAGAGGAGATCTATACTCTTTATTAAGATTCATTGATTATCTTTTCTGTGCTGAAGGTGATGTGCCATTTAGTTTCATAAGAACAGCTGAATAACTATCAACTCTGATTCTTTGGATTTAGTTAATGTTCTATTTGCATCTAGTTCATTTTTACTGACAATAATTCTGCATGTTTCTCAGAACTAAGCCAGATAATGATAACTGTCTTTTAAATACTTACCTTGCATAAATTCAAAAGGCAGCACCCACCATGGATTTGTTAACCATGAAATGTAGAGAAAACGTAAAACATTGCCTGCTAGTCCCAAACATAAGACCTGGAATCACACATATACTAAATCACATGCTTTTCTATTTTAAGTTTTCCAATGAAACATTTAGTTAATGCAAAGATCCATGTGAACTGTAATAGAAATTCTCACATTAGATCTGCCATAAATAATAATGTATATAACATTTCCTCCAGTAATATGTAGATACATAAATCCTCACCTTCACATGGCCAATCTGTTTTATGAGTCGAAAACTGAAGAAATAAGCAAAGATTTCAGATATGTGGTTGATAACTGATGCTACACCAAACAATGTTGGGGATCCTCCATAATCCTGAAAAATAATGTACTTTATTAAGCAGTAAGCCCTTTGTACTGTATATTAATAGTTTATAATTATTCTTTTTGTTGAATGTTATAATATTGTCATATCCGTGCATGAATGTTTGTGTGTGCACTCACACACATCTCATGAAAATGTCTGAATTTAGAGACCTGTTATTTCATGTGGCAACAGATCTTCAAATAGTAAGTGTGGAGATTTTGTAGAGTCCTTCTTAAGCAGAAGGTAAAATAGCAAAATGGTTGATCAAAATATGTACACAAATTACTCATTTTACAAAAGGAATGCATTCATTGAGAGAATATTTACAAAAGAGAATTTAATATCTCACTAATTTAAATGTATTAGGAAGAGAAATGTGTGGAAGGTTACTTCTTGCATGCTGCATTAATGGGTAATATAATATCATAAATGTTTTTCATAATTATTGAGATTGCTTGTGTTTCCAAATATGAAATTTATTTTGTTATGTGTCTAGTTTCTTGCCTGTATAAGTAGCAAATGGGAGAGAGAGAACTAGTCATCTTGTTTCAAGAAGAATGTTCCAAGGCTTACCATGCTAAATTAAGCTCTTTAGTTACATTACATTGAGTAATTGAATTCTTTGTCAATTTCTTACAGTAACATGAAACCAGAGTTAATCTGCAGTCCAGGTTAATTCATATCAGGATTATTTTGTAACTTTCATACATGTTAAATTTTATAATTGTGATAAATATATTCACATGCAATTTTTCAGCCTAAATTGACAGACTCTGGAGCTAGAGTTCATTTAATTTTAGATGGAGACTAACCTGAAGGTGCCAAAACAGGAAAGTAAAGATGAGACCAATGCCAGATCCCATGAACCAAGAAACAAAGAGGAATGAACCACACTTAAGGTTGGCAAATTGCTTCAAAACAGTGACCCACTCAGGAATTTCTCGTGTTGTCTGTGCAAACATCTTTGTCTGTAAAAGAAGAGCCATGTCATTTCTCCATGTATGAATTTTTTTGTTCAAAGCACCTGAATAACATTTACCACTCTTGTTTGTTATTTCGGTTCTAATGTTAACATGGTTACACAGTCGGTAACAGGCAACTTGACAGATGATTGCATAGTGCTGATGGAAAGTGGTGGCAGTGGTGTCTCTTAAAATGTTAATGTAACACTATGTATGGTAACTATATAAACATTTCTCATGAACAAATGTCTGGTTTGAGATTTACACATTGGTGAATAGAGTAGATTCCACTGTAAATACGTAGGTTAAGGTGTGAGGATAATATTGAAATGGATCTTTGGGAAATAGGGTGTGCAGATGTAGTTTGATTCATCTGTCTTAGGATCAGTCCAGTTTCAGGCTCTTGCAACTGTTAACTTCTGAAGGGCTTTGTTCATGGTGTAATTTATACCCTTGCAGTGAAGCATCACTAGTGTTTCTGACTTTTGACACTGATAATAGCTAATCCAGTTGAAGAAACACAAACCTCACCTGTAGTTGGGGTGGAGCAGGCTTGGTCGGTACAGGTATGCTGTTCGTGTCTGCCAACTGTGGCAAGTTCAGCTGTTGGGCCAATTGCTGTTGCATTGCATCTTCGTGTGAGAGCTCTGGAGGCTGTTTTTCCTGTGTACTTGGTTCTGGTTCTGGAGGAAAATCATATTTGAAGGTGATCTGTGTTGCGGTTATTAGGGCAGCACCCATCAACACAGAAAATGTGGCAAAACAAATAGTGTAGTTTTTCTCTTTAGCATCTGGGCTGCATGGATGTTCTGGGAATGAAGTGGAATGGTCAAGAGCAATTCCAACAAAAAACATGGCAAGCCCCCATCCTAGAGAACCAAACATGCGCTGATGTCCATAGCGATCAGCATCCTCACCCAGCAGTGTGATCACAGCTGAATCAGCCAGGGTAATAGCAGGAGCACTGAAGAATTCTCCTATTATCACCAGAAGAAGAAGCAGGAAGAAGACTTTCTGAATGTCCTGTGCAGAAATCAGATTTAGAAAATATCATGTACAGTTTGTGATATTTTATTAATTTTTAATTTGTCATGTTTCTGCTGAGGCCTTTGTATGTTTTTTTTCTGTCATTTGATCCTGAAATCATGGAATAGGCGTGGAAGTAGCAGCATCACTTGCAATTATTTTCAGTACAGATGTGACTATAATTTAAATTTCGCGGCAATGTGACCGTTGGGACTGAAGGCATATTCTCTTTATGTTAGTAATTAATTCCATGTTAATACATATAAAATAAGTAAACAAACAACTATTACCACTATAAAAAGGACACTATTGCCATACGCGTTTCAACCTCAAGAAGTCATCATCATTGGCATCAAGGAAATTAATTAAACCATTAGATTAAATGAATTAATTTCCTTGATGCCACTCTTGAGGTTGAAACGCGTATGGCAATAGTGTCCTTTTTATAGTGGTAATAGTTGTTTGTTTACTTATTTTATATTCTAATACACTACATGGTATGCAAAGTTTTAAGACCATATTAATACTCTTAATAAGAAACACCTGTTATATTCACTTACTTATTCATATCTAATTAATTCTCTGAACAGTTTTATAAGTCTTCTGACTCAGCACAAAGAGGCATTTTCAAGTGTAAGAGCAACTGATTCAGTGTTAAGATCCATAGATAGTCACTTAGGACATGACAGATAAATTGTATGCAAGGCTCTTTTGACATTCTTAAGGATCTAAATTATACAAGCGTTGCCACTTGTCCTTACTCCATGATAATAATTGGTGGGCACGCTGTTAAAACTGCCCTCAAAGTTTTTCAGAACTGTATTAATGCCTCTATGTTGCCACTTCCACCTATATAAGAAAAGTAGATTCAGGAATTGAGGCATCTACAAATATTTTGTCAGTGGTGTTCTGGGATGTGATGTCATGTGACAATGGAGGCAGGATGTTCCTCTAAAATGTTTATATCCACCTACAAGTCCACATGCAATCAGTAAGAATACCATTGACATTTTCACCACTACAAGAACCTCAGATTTTAAATATTGTGTCAATAATTATCACTATCTTAAAAATATCTCATTTTTCAAGATAAGAATGTTAGTTTTCACTATATTTATATTAACTGCCTCAATGTAGACTGGAAGAAGAATCTTGTAATGGCAGTTTTCTTTTGACGTGACACACCTGTGTGCGATAAACGATCGAACTGAAGAGTGGTGACACCCAGCTACTATGTTCACTTTCTTTATAGTTGGATGCATACCGCACATCAAGCGGCGACTGCCCTATGGTCATTGCTTGATGGTAGGAACGAATATTACGGGACCGAAAAGTGTTTGCGTCAGTACTGCCTGCCCCTGGTTTCTGCAGATCACTATCCACAAGCAAGAAAAGAATGCTTCTGTCAACTTCTCGCTTGTACACTTGCTCAGGTGGTGCAACTGTCTTCAATACGTAGGTGTGGTTTTCCTTCAGAATACAAGAAGTGGCTGGAGGCTGGATAAGGCCCAGTGGAAGAGTAAAGATGATCCATGCAGAGAGAGATGCTAACAGGAGCATCTTACCCTTCTGCCACCTGTAAAATGATTACATGTTTTCTTTATTTCTGGGGTACTGCAGAAGAAAATTCATGTAAGTCTTGTCAATATTTTTATAGCAGACTATGCATAAAGTACTTAGTTTCATGATTATGTGAAATATTACAGTTATTCCATCAGTACCGTACAGTGTTGCAGCAGATGTGTTTCGGTTCTGCGGAACCATCCTCGGTGCACGTTTCATGTTCCTTTACGTATCAATCACTTTTTGACATTTCTGTAGTATTGCTCCTCATCACATAATTTGCTAGTGACAGGGTAAAGGGACATAGACGCTAAAAGTTCAGGAAACGAAAATCAATTTTTGAGTTCTCACAAATCATGTTCATTGATTTCTTTAAAAAAATTATAGAAATATGGTTGTACAATTTATGCATGAACTTCAGTTTGAAGTTATATTGATTGGTATATGTTTTTATTTTATTGATGAACATACATACAAGATGATTCTATGGGCCTGTGATTTAGTATAATTTAAGAAAATAAAGCTAAGTGACAGTTTTGCCAGGTAAAGTATTATTTATAACGTTTTACAATATTTCTCGTACTTCTTCTTATACTAAATCGTAATTCTTACATCGCTGGTTTTGAATAAAAATTATAAATACAGTCATCTCTGCAATTACGTATGTTTCGTTAACGCGAATTTGCTCCAATGAGATCGATGAATCGGTAAAAGCTGCTTGTGAGATGCAAACTTTTTCAAATACGAATTTTCTCTTATGTAATTTCATTCCTAGCGCCTTAAACTTTCAAAGGACTAATTTAATCGTGAAATTTTGAAATGAATAAAGAAGAAATCACGTCAGTTTACATTATAAAATCGTTCGTATTTACGCCGGTTCGTCCAGGAACATATCCCCGGCGTGAATTGAGGGCTACCTGTATATAAAGTTTTTAATGTATATTTTAATATAATGACTACTTTAAAGATACAAAATAACTAACAAAAGCAAAATCTTACAAGAATGCATGGACAGAAATAAAATCAGCATGTTGAAGATTAGTCAACATATTGGCAGTCAGTCGGTTATTCTCAGAATGGCTTATTGTAGAAAACATTTTTGCATGATAAAATACTAGACCTCATTTTGTAAAAGGACTGTTTTCATGATTGGTCAAGTTCTTAGCAATGGTGCTAGATGGCAGAATGTTTATTTTACAAGTGCTCTTACTTTTTATGGACTTTATGAGGGTATTTCTAAATTAGGGATGGTGGAAAGGAAAATATGGATTAAAGGATGAAATTATGAATATCATTTTCTTGAATCACAGGTCCATAGTATCATCTTGCAGGTATTTTCATCAATATGACTTTCCCCTTAAAAAAATTAAATAAATTGACTGATTTTCACGAAACGTCGTGTAAACATCATGTCAGTTGACGTTATCTCATCTTCGCGTTTTTGTTATATATTCTAACAATAATACGAACATGGCGGG